AAGTAGAGTTTGTCACTATAGACCTGGCGTTTTCTTCTTTTGTGTTAAATGCAACTTCAATGCTGTGGAAATTACTTCATCAGTTTCAGTTTTGCAGAAAATATTTTGAATAGTGTGATGAGTTTGCTTGCAATGCTTGCAATTTTCTTGTTATAAATGTTACTATTTCAAAGCATTTTTAATTATATTAAGTTGTGGCATGAGTGCATCAAACAGTAAAATGGCAATTCGCAGCCGTTTTAAACATCACACAATGTGATTTCAGTAAAAAACGGACCTATTTATAACTGTCCCTGAGTGCTAAGAAATTCTGCAAGGAAGTAATATGAAGAATACGTTAACTCTCTTAAAATACCGTAAGGAGTGTAGCTCAAGTACTTTTCATGCATTTTCTATTCATAATCCCAACAATGAGAGGAACTTGTACTGTAGTTCTTGTAGTGTGGGGTTACAGTAGGGTCTGAATGTTCTCCAGGTAACGCAGTTCAGCCCAAAACTTTCCACTGGCTCTCCTCTTTTGGTGAATCGTGTAAAATGCAGTTCTTTTTAGCATATTACAAACAACATTGTTGATAAAAAAAAAAGCACTAGGGAAAAGCTATTTTTGTCCTATCGAACCAAAAATCTAACACATTTATTAGATTAGTGCAATCTATTAAAGCATAGATGTAGCAAAAGGAAGTGCTACACAGGTAATTTCTGTGGCATGTAGAGGATATGACTGATGCTCACAGCGCTTCTTTGGTTACCATCTGAAAATACCATACTGCCTGCTCTTATGTGAGATTTCCGGCCAGTTGCATTCGTATGAATCGTGTGAATTTCACAGTTCGTGAGCTGTGAAGCAGCCGTGCCAGATGTTCTGGACGGTTATCAGTTCCTAGCCTCTTAACAGCACTCCATGATCAGAAACGTAATGATTAAGACACAAGTTATCCTCGCACTGCTTGTTATTTCAGAGACATAGTATTTTCAGCATTGTGTTTTGAACATACAAGTAAGGATGTTGCGTAGCAAACAAAATCACTGTTGCCCTAGAAGAGGATATTTCATTTCTGATATAATGCGAAAGTGTGTAAATTAAGCAAAACTGATTTTTTAACAGTGCTTGGTGGTTGTTAATAAAATGTCCATGGAGTAATGGGTTTCTCTGGTGTTAAAATTACGTTGGCTGTGCACTTCTTCTGATGTTGTTATTGAATATGAGGTTAACCCTATTAAAAGCACTGATGTTACAGAATATAAGCCCCAATGTTGCTTGTGATATTGTGGGAAGTGCAATGCCTGAAATTTAATTTCAACCATATTTGTGACCTGTCACTAGGGATGCAAAATCTGACATTAGAAGGTACAGTATTTGTCCTATGCCTACTTTTACCCCAGTCTAATGCATGCATCTACAGTTGAAGCTGTCATGCTTATTAAGATACCTTGATGATTATCAAGCAGCAGAAAGGGGGTGGGTCGCTGGTTTCAAATCTTGAGCGGAAAATGTGCTCTCTTATGTTTTGATTAAGGTATTGTACATGGAAATTCCCATCTTTCTAAAAGGGTTGTTATTGGAAAGTGAGTTTGTTCTCACCTGACTTACGTAAAGAATTAAACTAATGGATTCCTTGCGTTCCTGCATTTTCATTTGTTCATGACTGAATGCGAGACCCATTTTACCACAGCTGAGGAAGGTGCTAAAGAAACTAATACGGTACTGAAGTCCACATGAACATTTGACCTTGATTGAATTTCTTTTCCTAAATCCATAACATGTTAAACATTTATCCCCAAAACTACCATCTGTGCTGCCACCTCATTTGTATACCACGTGGCAGACCACGGAAAGGTTTTATTTGTATCAGACCCCATTGTTGAATCACAGCAAGTATTCTGTGAATGAGCCTGGGAGATGAACACAATGATTCCTGTAGGAAGTCACAGGTGCACTTGATAGCTTTGTTGGTCGAACATCTCTGGCCTTTTAGAGTACGGTGTACACAACTTCCATACTGTAATTTGTGATGGAATCACATTAGGATTAGTCGAGGCAAATTCACATTTGTTTGCCTAATGTTGTGAGTTGCTAAAGTTTGAAATATGTTTTATTTGAGAAATAAGACTAAAATAGTTTGCTGATGGTAATCTTGCTTCAAGACAATTTAAGATAATGTTTTTGCAAGCATTGTTCTTTTAATCTAGCTGTTTTCAACATTCATCTGTCTGTTCTAATTTACAATAAAATGTATTTCAAGTGCATACATATTTGTAAAAATGTATTCAAAATATTTTTAATACATTTCATTTTATAATAAAGGCTCATAGTTTAAAAACATTTTTAGAAATATGCAATTGTTACATTTTATACACATTCTTAAACATTCTAAAATATTAAATGTTTTGTATGTGACAAATGCTGAAACATTAAATTAAGTAAACCAAAAACGTTTAAGCTTTGGAATGCATTGAATTATTTTCCTTCAGGCAGCTGTTTTTGGCAGACAATTACGTGTCTTATGCTGGAAATGCTCATCTGTTATTGCACCCATTGCAGAGGAAACTAATTGTACCCGATTGTGAACTTTGTGGTTTTGCAATCTAGCTTAGCTTGCTGACCATTACTTTGCATGGTGCAAAGAAAATGAAAGCACAGAACAGCAGTTAAGACTGAACTGCAAGTAGACAGAATTCACAGTGAACTGTGTCAAAATGTGGAAATCAACCTTAAAAGGCTTTATGTAAAGCTGGTGTGTATACATTAGTTATACTGCCTTGAAGCCCCAAGTGATGTGTAATGATTGGGAGTTTCCCACATGATAAACTTTTTTCAAATGATAAACAGAAGTGGTTTGCATAGAATTTAACAATGTAAAACGTGATATATTTATCATTACAAAATAATGAAAATGCTAAGATGCGAAGTAGCAAGGAAATATCTAATACAAAAATCCTTTTAGTGCGTCCTTTACACATTGTTACAGAAAGGTTTTCTCAGAGCAATAGTACAATATAGACAGGATGCCACAGCTGAACAGGTGAATGGAACAGGATGTTTGCAGAACTTCTGAAATGTCAACAATTGCCTTGCTCCTGCTTCTGAGCTAAACACTGTCTGGGACAATATGGCAACTCTTATTGTTTCTGCAACATCTTCATTTTTTATTGATAGTTTTTTATCTTTAACTCGAGTGCATGAAACCTTTCTAGCGCTGAAGAATACACTATTTGGTATCAAACGAGATGGTGTAATTTATTACATTTGTCCTTTCTTGACTAAGCATACAAAATTTGAATTCTCAATACACTCTGTGTTGCTTTTGCTCTTGGGAGCCAGGTGGAATGTTGGAGCAAGTATAGCACAGCAGATGTTATTAAAAGCAAAATTCCTGTAGAGTTTTTGCTCTGCACTGCAGGTTTTCAACACTTCTCAAAATCGGAGCTAATTTCACCAATAACAAGATTAGACAAGCATAAAGCACAGGCATAAAGGGAATGTAGGCTGCAAAGGAGAAAAATGTCTGGGATCAACACAATAATTTTCATGTCTGATTTCTATATCACGAGAGCAGTGCCATTACAGTAGGTGAGTTTAAGCACTGTGGAAAAGAATGTCTGTTCTTTGAATTGTTTGGATTTGATAGCGATAGCATTTCCTTAACCTCCTCTTGGATTTATTTGGTAATATATGTGAGGGGAAAAAAACCTTTTGACATTAGTCTTGTACATAGCTGGAGTGATAGTTCATATGAAAATGCCGATTCCTCATTATCTCAAAGTCACAGTTTTTTGAAGCCTCCACCTCAATAAATGAAATTGTTTTCAATGCATTTTTGTAGATTCTTTTGTTGTGTCATTTGTTGTGCTTTTAACCAGGCTTATTTTGAGAATGTCATGCTGACACTTTCCTGGAAACCTTGATACGTCATCTATTGTCCTGAGGAATATCATCTGTCTTGTAGTTTTAATTCCAACTGAGCCCTCAATCGCCGGTGCTAGTTGATGCCCATAATGAGTCTGTTTTCTGCTTCAGACTCTTCTGCACTCAGAGTTTGATTTCGATACTGCCCTGATGAAATTTTAGTATATACTGTTTATGCTCTCCTTAACATGCTTAGTAAAAATGTGTTCATTTATTTATGACTTAAAAGGTTCTTAACAGGTGACCAATTTATGATGAAACAGGTGGGAATAACATTGTGTCAGACTCCTTCACAGTGAATAAGCATTGTATCTACTAGCTACTGCATGTAATTATATCAAGGGCATACGCAGAACATGGATCGCACATGCCGATCACAGTGTTTTTTTCTTTAACTGTACCTTTTTACTTAAAACCTTTTTACTCAAATGAATTGCTATACTATATACTTGCAATAATGAGTTTTTTCAGCTTAACCTTTTTGGGTAGCCGGTATTAACTGTAATTATCCTACCTGTGAAATAGTCCATGTAGTAAAATCAATGCTGGACATTCTCGTCAGTTTCACAATAATTACCAGATAATAATTATCTGGTATAGTTTTTATAGTAATTACCAATTCCTCTTCCCTATACCAGAAGAGAAATTGAGTTTGTAATGCAATGCAAATCAGTTCTTTAAATCCAGTCTTTAAATTTGTTGCACTGAAAGTTGGTATAGGCCAGCATGGTGGTGCAGTGGTTAGTATTGCCATCACACAGCTCTGAGGCCCTGGGTTGACCTTGGGTGGTATCTGCATGGAGTTTATCTCCCCATGTTTGTGTGGGACTCCTTTAGGTGTTCTGGTTTCCTCCTTCAGTCCAAAAATAATACTGGTAGTTTAATTGGCACCTGGGAAAGTTGGCCCTAGATATGTTGTGTCTGTGTCTGTACTGATGTCCCCTACCCTGCCTTGTGCCCATTGCCTGCTGGGATAGGCCCCGCCACCCTGAATTAGAAGATGTGGTTAGAAAATGGATGGATGGAGAAAGCTGTATACTCTGTATGAGAATTAAACATCAATATTTAATTTGTGTAATTGTTTCTTTTGCAGAATTGGGTATGGCCCAGCGCAAGTTTGCGCAGTCTCTTGGAGATTTTAAATTTGAATATATTGGAGATGCAAAGACTGATGATGAGAAGTGCATTGGTAAGTCTGTGTGCTTTTGAATTCACATTGAAACCCCAGGACGTTTTCTTTTTATCTTGAATATTACTCCCCGTTGAAGGATCTTGACAAAGCCTCTGCCTCTTTTAATGGAATGGCAGCCAACTAGACGATTCTAGAATGGCATGGAATGTAAAATTAGTTACCTGGTTCTGGGTATTCAAAAAGTGTGAATAGCCACTTACAAACAATAACTAAATAACAGTATTTAAGTATAGTAGGCTCCACCACTGATGCATTTTAATTTTTATAAGTATTTAAAAATGTTTGTGATTAGTTTTAACCGAATTGCCCTACGTTAACAACCTGTTTGTATTTCAGATGAATCATTGCAGGAGTTTTCTTCTTTCCTTAAGAACCTGGAGGACCAAAGAGAACTGATGGTGAGTGTAACTTAGTGGAGAATTAAACCTGGTAAAGATAGGGAGTGGCTTGAAAGAAAGAGGAGAAAAATCATATTCCACAATTAAAAGTTCCAAGTTATACTTAAGAGTTTTATTTTGAATGCAAAAGAATACATTGATTGTTCATCGTTTTCTATAAATACAATTCTATACGTACATTTTGCTCAGACTGATAGGATCCCTTTGATCTGATTCTTCTTTCTATAATGTGAAAATGACTTGTTAGTTTAAAAATGTTTTAAACAAGGCAGGACATCACAGCATAATTATTTTAGAAAAAGAACAGTATTTTCAGGGGTTGTCAATGTTATTTGGAAAACTCTATTTTTCTTTTGGTGTGATTTGTACAGAACCACACAGCTATAAGTGAAAGGCCTGTAGTGAAGGCCTTTTGATTTTATTGATGGCTTAACCCTGCCATGCTACAGACAGAGCTACAGACATTTTAAAATAATGAGTGAAAGACCACAAAACTGCTTTCACTTACAGGTACTGTATATATAGAACTTCTTATCCCAAAGGATCCGAAAGTGTTTTAAATGGGGGAGATGTGATATGTGATGCTTACCAGCTAAGTTGTTTTTAAAAAAAATATTCAAGGTTAATACAACACAACCCCTACTCCCCCTGTAAACTACTTTGTTTGCAATTGCTTTTAATACATCAGGATTTATATATTCAATATTTTTATTTTTATTATGTTATACTTTAGCATGGGAGTTGTGATTATCCAGCTTCATATTTACTGTACTTCTAAATGTAAAAGCTACTTAGCCCCCAAGGTGATCATTTTATAAAAGATTGAGAATTGGCCATGCATTCCCACACATGCAGCTGGTCCAGCTATCTGTGGTGCACGCTGTTTATGCCACTTATTTATTGTATTAAAGCACAGTTACATTTGAAACTGGATGCCTGATGATTGATTTCTAATGCCTGTTTTGGAGATGCACTGCACCAGCAGCTACTGTAGATGTGTAAGAGCCCATGGACAAGCTGTGCTTTTTGATTAAATACCTGAGGTGAATTCCAAGTGTGGATACCTTGTGTTACAAATGCCCTGGAAAATGCTCTGCACCAGTCTGCTCAATTCAGTTTTTTAAACAGATGTAGCCATTTGTGTCCAGGATCAAATTAGCAAAGTGTTTCCATCCCTACAACAATAGGAGGTGAAATTTGATCTGGAAAGTAGTGGGAGTAGCACCTTCCAGTTGGGTTCATTGTGGGGCACAGAGATAGCAGAATGCACCTCTGAACATCTGCATGTTTTTTTCAGTGCTTCTTTCTTATAAAGTGCACTGATCAGATGCCGTGTTATCTACACCATTCATGTTTGTAAAAACATTGTCTCTCTAGCTACGGTGTAAACTTGGGCCCATGTGTGAAAATTCCTAATATTAAAAACCAAATCAAGGTTACATAGGAATATCCCTGTTCATTTCAGTACATATTACAGTGTTAATCAACAAAAAATACAAATGAACATTGTGAAACAATGTACATTATACTGTATACTGTAGGCATGTACACAGCTCATGAAATTTCATTTTCTTATTGGAGAACAAATAGTACACTGAATAAAAATGACAAGTTACATAGAGAAGTCAAATGATGATAATTTAAAGAAAATCAAAGACTAGCATAATAAACTGACGGATATACCAGACCATTTCATTTTATTTCGAAACAGTCTTATTTAAACTACGTATTTGTTCCCCATTGTGGCTTTTCCATGAACTGTGATTGTACGGTATGAGTTTAATTGATGCACTCTGCCTGAAATCAAGTGCAGTTTCACATTGATTGATAATTAAAGTAATACGTCCTACTGAGGGTAGTGAATCTCGTACTGTATGGAGCGGTGGCTCTGTGGCCAAGGATCTGTGTCTGTGATGGGAAGGTTGGCGGTTCAAATCCCGCGGCCGGCAGAGGAATCCTACTCCGTTGGGCCCCTGAGCAAGGCCCTTAATCCCAACTGCTGCAGGGGCGCTGTACAATGGCTGACTCTGTGCTCTGACCCCAAGCTTCTCTCCCTGTCTGTGTGTCTCATGGAGAGCAAGCTGGGGTATGTGAAAAGACAAATTCCTAATGCAAGAAATTGTATAGGGCTAATAAAGCAACATTATCATTATTATAATACCATTTTGTTACCCAGAAAAACAGATTTTAGAATATTAAAGAAAAATAAATTCATATTGGTGTCAAATTGATATCTTAATGAGGCAGGTAATAGGGGCCTATAAGTAATCCGATTTGGAATAATGTAATCTTATTTAACGGCTGAACTACAAACATTCTGCATCACTGGTAGAATTTAATATTCTGTTAAGTCACGTGGTAGAGTTGCACATTTAGCTTTAAAAGCAGTTTTTCACGGCTTATAGACTAAGAATAGATAATCATTTGTTCAATAAAACTTAATTTAAAAGGAAAACTGAGTAAGATTGTTTTTTTAATGGTATCCTATATATCACTTTCAAACAGAAAGAATTTATTAAAATCTGAAAGCACACTGTCAACTTCTTTTAATCATTCCTTACATACTTTAAAGCTAATCACATTTCTGAAGTCATGTCAGCAATAAATACAGTGATGCTAGAAAGTTTGTGAATCTTTTAGAATTTTCTGAATTTCTGCATAAATTTGACCTACAATGTGATCAGATCTTCATCTAAGTCATACAAATAGATACAGAGAACCCAATAAAACAAATAACACACAAAAGGATATACTTTTTCATTAATTTATTGATCAAAATGATCCAACATTAAATGTCTTTGTCAGAAAAGTACTGTATGTGAACCTCTGGAATTATCAGTTCAGTTAAGGGGATAATAAGAGTCAGGAGTGTCAATCAATGGGATGACAATCAGGTGTAAGTTTGGGTGGCCCTGCCTTATTGGAAAAAACATAAACCTGAGTCTTCACTCATAGGTTTGTGAACGCATGCCATGCCTCGATCATAGGAGATTTCTAAGGACCTCAGACAAAAAAGTCTGTTTTTTAGACTTTCAGACTCGAAAGGTTTTGTAACCTAGAAAAGGTTACAAAACGATATCTAACGACTTTGGGCTTCACCAATCCACTGTCAGTCAGATAATGTGCAAATGGAGAAAATGCAACACCATTGTTACTTTGTCCAACAAAAATCACTCCAAGAGCAAGGTGTATAATATTCCGGGTGATCACAAAGAACCCCAGGGTAATGTCTAAGGATCTGCAGGTCTCTCTTGCACTGGCTAATGTCAGGGTTCGTGAGTCCATCATCAGGCAAACACTGAACAAGAATAGTGTGCATGGGAGGACAGCAAGGAGGAAGCCACTGCTCTCCAAGAAGAACATTGCTGCCCGTTTAAAGTTTGCTAAAGACCACCTGGATGAGCCAAAAGACTACTGGAAGAATGTCCTGTGGAAGGAGTCGAAAATAGAACTTTTCAGCTTAAATGAGAAACCTTATGTTTGGCAAGAACCAAACACTGCATTCCAACATAAGAAACTCATCCCAACCATGAAACACTGTTGGGGGAAGTATCGTGGTTTGGGGCTGTTTTGCTGCCAAGGGACCAAGACGGCTTGTCATCATTGACGGAACTATGAATTCTGGATTGTACCAGCAAATTCTACAGGAGAATGTCAGAGTATCCATCCGTGAACTGAAGCTCAACAGAAGGTGGGTCTTGCAGCAAGACCATGACCCTAAAACTCAGTCTACCAAAGAATGGTTGAACACAAGATATTTTGCGTTTTGGAATGGCCGAGTCAAAGTCCAGACCTTAATCCAACAGAAGTTTTGTGGCAGGATGTGAAGCATGACAGCCCACCAACATCATTGAGTTGACGTAGTTCTGTAAGGAGGAACGGGTCAAAATCTCTCCAAGCCGATGTGCGGGACTGATCAACAGTTACCGTAAACGTTTGGTTGAAGTCATTGCTACTCAAGGGGGTCACACCAGTTACTGAAAGCATAGGTTCACATACTTTTTCCGACAAAGACATTTAATGTTGGGTCATTTTGATCAATAAATGAATGAAAAAATATATCCTTTTGTGTGTTATTTGTTTAATTGGGTTCTCTTTATCTAATTGTATGACTTAGATGAAGATCTGATCACATTGTAGGTCAAATTTATGCAGAAATTCAGAAAATTCTAAAAGATTCACAAACTTTCTATCACCACTGTTTATAGCACATGATTCTGATTTTTTACAACTGTGATAAAACAATGAAACACTAGTAATAATTGGCAGTAAAAGCTCTTCTAGCTCTTCTAGAATTTACAGTAGAATGTCACCAAATTATAATTGAATTAGACTGCTGTAACATGCCGTTAAAATATTACTTTGGAAGAAAATATTATGGATTTAGTTGAGAGTGGTACAGTACTGTAATGCTATTTTAATATCCTCTAGATATTATCCCATGACCTCCTGCTGTTTGTTATATTTCATTCTTTGTGCTGAATACGGGAATTATTTTGCATTGCTACTTCTTCCATCACAGGTTTTCAGAAGTTACGTTGGTTGATTAAACCCACTGTACTGTAAAAAGAAAAAGATTTTGGCAAGTGTTATTTCCCTTTGTTTATTTTATTGTCTATAGCAATCCAATAGATTACTGCTCTCTGTTTTGCCTGTGGGGTTAAGGTTATTGTATACATTTCCTGCTATCAGTTCCCTCTGGTACACACACCCTTTTTCCTGGCACTTTCCTTTCACTTTATCAAAATAAAATGTCCCTCCACCAGCCCCTGATTCATCCAGTATATTAAAATTAAATAAAGGGTTCATTTACCAGATTCTGACTTAAATTACAAGAAATGGTAGCGTATATTCAAATATTAGTATATTAACACTAACTGCAGTATCACACCAGCAACCTCACTACACAGCAGATCAGGTGGAGAAGGGACAATCTGCTTCTTCTTCTGAATTAAGGGGACACTTAAGGGAATCCAAACTGTGCAAGTGGCATTTCACCGAGACACCATGGTTAACACCTAACAGTAAGTCTTGGATAAGTTCTGACATCTGATGAGATCAGGCTATAAAGTAGTAAGGCTACATCAAGCACGAAATTCAGCCTAATTTAATAAGAAATGTTAATGCATCAGACAGCATGGAGGCTTGGTGTTTAGCATGGAAGACACTGACTGTGTTCAATATGACTCTGCTCTGTGTCTGTGAACAATTTAGAGGTGGGTTTGAAGGGAATGTTTATGTTATGCAATTTATAGATTAAGGAACGGATGACAGTATTTAAAAACTTTATTTTCAAATCTATAGTGTGACACAGATCAGAATGTTTAGATAACTGTTTAAATGTTTCCATGAACTTTCCATCTTTCTCCCATGACTTCTCTCTGAGTTCTAGAAGTCCATTCATATCCCTAAAATAATAAGCAGCACACAAAAATCTTCCACTGCAATCCAAGCCTAGCCCAAACAAAGGGTAATTCCTAAGTAAATCCCTAAATTCAAAGTTCTTTAATATCACTGATTTTTTTTTATCATTTCCGATGTGTCTGAGATATTCCAGGGAATGATAGTGTGATTATGAGCAGTAGTGGCGATTTACCTTTGAACAGAAAGTCTGTTGTCACTAAAGCACATTTTAAAAGTTGTATGCTCCATACAACTATGCTCCATTTGCCCCACTCCTTCCTACTTTTCAGATTCTGACATTAAGGTTGATCCAAATAAAATACTGTATTAAGTGATAAAACACTGGAGCAGAACTTTGGGACCTTACACTACGCTATCCAAATAATGTTTTACTGGTGTCAATATCCTGTGTTTCTGTCATTTGCCTACTGGGAGGCTGCTGTTTTTGTTTCTGTTTTGTTGTATTAGTAACAGTGTCTGTTTTTCTAGATGCGCAACATCACTGAGACGCTTCTGAAACCTCTAGAGAAGTTCCGGAAAGAACAGCTGGGATCAGCAAAGGTACAGACGCTTTTCATACCCCCTAGCCTTGCTGTACTACTGAGTGGCATTAGAATATTCCAGAAAATATACCAAATTCATTTATTTTTAGGCTTGAGAGCAATTAATTTATTTTGGCCACTTCAAAAAGAAACTGGTTGTCTCTAGTCCTCAATTCTATGCATTTAAAACAAACTGCTTTGGTAAAGTAGAAAATAATATTTGTGGTTATTGAATATTGTTCTGGTTTTGTGAGTTGACACTCTTGACTGCTGTCTTACTATTTTTATATGAATTCAAGGAGGAAAGAAAAAAGTATGAGAAGGACACAGAAAAGTACTACAGCTCCCTAGAAAAACTTTTAACTTTGTCTGCAAAGAAGAAAGATCAACAGCTGCAAGAGGTAATTTTCTCATGTACTTACTGTAATACTCAACATACATGTACTGTATACAACAGGAATACAGCTAGCAGTTTTATGAGTTCTGTGTTGATTTAAATGTGAACAATGAATTCCCTGGAATGCCAGTTTTGGTTTAAATTAATTTACTAAGTAATAGAAGGAAGTTCCGGGTTTATATTTATAGTTGCTGGAACTTTATCTTAGATGTTTTTGATGAAAAGCATAAAAATGGTAGGTAACTGCAGCCTTTGTTTTGGTTTCCATTTTTTTAGAAATATAAAAATGTGCACATACTGTAAACATGACTTTTTTTGAATGCCACGTCAGACTGCTGACAGACTTTTCAATTAGTGCTCAGATTTGGTTGTTGTTTTTCCTAATTCTTTACATGTTGCCCTTTACATACAATGCTGTTCTGTTGTTTTTGGCATACAGATTTACTATAGCTATCTGCGTCTCTGCCTTCCTGTAGTTTACTGGTCTCTGAAGAAGGGTTCCTGCTAACAGCTAGTCAGAAAAGGAAAGGCATGAGAATGTTTTAGTAGCACTGCAAAGGTCAAACTGCACTGAAGCTAGAAACATTCAAGACGTTCTTGGCTGACATGTTTGCCTTAAGACTTTTTGTCTCGCAAGAGAAATAAATCTTGCGAAAATATTTATTTATAAAACAAAACCTTGTTTGGAATCAGTGTTGCACTGGTACACATTGGGCTGCAGAATTATCAGATAAGTTACCACAAGCCATGGACCAAGTGAACTCATAAAGGTACAAAACCATTAATAAATTATTGTAAGATTCGATTCAGTGGCTCAGGGTGAGAAAATGCTCCTCAGTGCTCATCTTTTAATCACATCAGGGGTAATGGACTGAAATGCTCTTTTCTGGGCTAAACTTCTCTTTGCAGGTAAGGCTCTCGTAGTGGCTTAAAGCAGTTAAATCACCAGTGCCACAAAGTGTCTTCCATGGAGACCTGTAAAGTTTTGTATAAACCATAAAATTGTTCTACTTTTTAGGTATTTACAATATCTCACACGGTATCATTTTCCTGGCAAGACTACAGGAATGCTGGAGATTCCTATAATCTACCAGATGTTGGCCTATAGAGTCTGTGTTGCTATACTCCTAGAAAGCCCTCCCTGATGAGACCCGCATGGCTCAATCCCTGTTGCTGAAATTATACCTGCTTCTGTTTTCTCAGTTTATGAGGCACTTTATGAGAACGTACATTCATGAAACCTTCTATTTACAGGGAATCAGTGAATGTGCACCAGCAGGCAAGCTCCTCCAAAACAAGCTCTATTTATTCATTATACAACAAGCGACAACTGATCTCGATGAATATAAAGTGTAGAAATGTGAAGGGAAAGAATACCCTTTTTTTAATTCCTCTGTTTGAATGAAGTTGACTGTAAATTTACTGATGTTGGCTGTAATTTTTTCTTTTCCAGGCAGATATACAAGTAGAGCAAATGAGACTGCATTTTCATGAAGAATCACTGGAATATGTTTGCAAATTGCAGGAGATACAGGAGAGAAAGAAATTTGAATGTGTAGAGCCTGTAAGTGTATGGCGTGAGAAAACAGAAGTTTTACTTCTGAGAAGCAGGATGTACAAACCATTAAAATCAAATTTATGCGTGGCATTGTTTAAGCAGAAATGTAAATTCATTGTGCACTTAGTTTAATTTCTGTTTGTCTGACGATTATAAGGCCCTTTCTAGCTACTGCTGTTGCTGCATTGTTTTCTGTTATTTTCCTTTTCTATTTTTCTGGACTGATGGTCTAGACTGACGTGTGACACATATTTTGTCTTCCTCTGTAGATGCTGGCTTTTTTTCAGACTGTTTTCACATTCTACCACCAGGGATATGAGCTGGCAAAGGACTTCAACCATTATAAAACAGAGCTGCAAATTAATATTCAGAATGTGAGTTTTTCCATTTACCTTTTATTAATTCTTTTATCACATATTAACATGCATTTAAAAATGGGGTCTCAAAAACTTCAATTGTTGTGTGCAGGAAGAGCTCTAATCTGCTTATCTGTATTTTGTTTAAACTTGGATATTGCTATTGCATAAACTACAGCAGTTTTTTTTGTCCTGTAGCCATTTTGATCTCATTTAGCTTCTATTTTATGCAAAAAATGCAGAGATTTTAATCTAAATATTCAGACTGCAGTGCAGGGGGAGGGTTGGGTCAATTTGAGCAGTATTTTGTGGATTTTATAATTCTTTTGATAAAAAGATTCAGAATAGGAACTCAAATGACTTGTGCAATTGTAGTGCCTCTTTGGACACTGAAGCCATTTTGTGAGTCATTCCTTTTGGCATTAATACAATTTCTTTGTTCAACTGTTCTACACCCTCATTTAGACTGTTCAAAGATCTGTATTGTAAACTAGTGCTTTGTCTACAGTATGTTCTGTATTATATATGCAAGAGATTTTTGCAATAAATTTGTCACTTAAGCACCTTTAAGCCTAGAAATGTACCTGCTCACTCACTGTGCTCTGATTCCAGAAGATAAGTATATTTATTGTAATGTGGTGAGCACAGTCATATACAATATACAGTACAGTATGAAGCAGCTTCGACTAGATTGTCACTTCTTATTCTGTTCATAGTTAATTTTATTACTATTCTAGATGCAACAGTCTGCCTTACAAAATTATTTTCCCAGGTTTTTGCCCAGTTCTGACTTTTGACTAAGCTACTTTAAATTCTTTGCTGTTAATCTTCTTATTTTCAAATCATCAACAAATGTAATTCATTTGTTAACCACAATGTAAATCATTTGTATGTATTAAGCAGTTGTCCTAATATAGATCCCTGTGGTACTAATAATACTACCCCTGTTTGAGAATTCACTCTTTATCTAAATTAATTGCTTTTCTGGAATTTTAGCAAAAACCTTCTGAAAATCTGCATACAGGAGGTCCTTAGTGGCGGCAGTGCAACTGGGATGTTAAGCAAGTCAATGTCAAGGGAAAAATTATTTCCCATAAAAAAATAGACATGATGTTTTGCATTATGGCCAGACAAAGTCACCTTTAACACATCTGTCCCGAGCACATTGTTTCAAAAGTCTTGTCATTCAAGTGAAGCAATGTTCTTCTTGGAGAGCAGGGGTTTTCTCCTGTATATCCTTCCATGAAAGTCATTCTTATTCAATCTTTTTTCTGTTGGTGGATTGATGATAATAACATTTACGATATGAGGGAGGCCTGTAGATCCCTGGATCTAACTTTATGATTTGAGACTTCTAGAAGCTTCATACAATTAGATCCTGGAGAAAACTTGGTAAGTCAGCCACTTCATGGTAGATTGACAACAGTCTTGGATTTTCTCTATTTGTAGATTCTTATCATGGAATAATGGACTTCATATTGTTTGGAAATGGTTTTGTAACCATTCCCAGACTTGTAAGCAGCAGCAGTTCTTTCACTAAAACTGTCACAGATTTATTTTGATCGGGCCATAATGTGTTACCAAAAACCTGAGTGCTTAAGACTTACCCAACCATGTTCCTCATTTTATATACAAGAGGGAAATTTCCTGATAATCACCTTATGTGCACATGTTTTGGGAGCACTTACTTTTTCACATGTTGAATGCTGGCTGATTTTTTTAAATAATGGCAAAGTAGTATTTATCTTTTATTTGTCCATTGAGGTTAGTTTTATTTTCTATTAGAACCTGGTGAGAATAAGGTGAAGGTCACATATCTCTAAATGTATTAAAGCATAAAATCTTAAGTGAGTACTTTGTTTAACCACACTGTAAGTCATCATTTTTCCAGCTGGGTATTGCATCTTCTTGAATGCCCTTTTGTAGTTTTAAGAGATTGTTTAGTTACTTCCCTTATTTCTTTCAGTACCACTGATAGCTGCCAGTGTCTAGATGTGCTTACTGTATCTAAAACACATCTGTGCCAGTATTATTTAATATAGAGCCTTGTTTCCTCAAGGTGGAGCTCTTGTCAAGTTTGTTCCTTAAATAACAGAGACATTGACTAATATGTTCAGGCATTTCAGTATCTCTATCTTTCAGTATCAATCAGTATCTCTAATACAATTACCTCATTTTTTGTTGTTTACCTTTTATTACCTTTATTGTTCTTTTGTTGTTATAGTATTAAAGAAGAACTTTAAGCTTGAATTGTAATGTTCATGAAGATAATAGAGGTGACATTCTCACTCATTAACCATTTTGTCTTCTAGACAAGAAACCGATTTGAGGGTACCAGGTCTGAGGTGCTAGACCTGATGAACAAAATCAAACAAAATCCCCAGGAGCACAGACGTACCAGTCCACTCAGCATTGAGGGCTACATGTACATCCAAGAGAAAAGTAAGTGCACTTCTTCTGTGGTCTCTAAAATGTTATGTAAGTACTGGCACAGTGCATGTTTTACAAAGTTACCAAAAGCCCCTTAAGTGAAAAGAATGTAAAAATGGCTACAAATGGGAGCAGGCTTTTTTGACAAAAATAGAAATAAAATAGAGAAAAGGTTTGTATAATGTAATCTTCAGTTATAATCTTGCTAGGCTTTCCCAATGAACTTTATCATGGATTTAAACTCATTCACATTTTAGTTGACTGTTTCTTGTACTTGTTAGCATAGTTAAAAATAATTTATATGACTATAATTTCAAAATAGAAAACTATGATTGTGGTTTAATAACTGTCGTTAATAGCAGTTCATTACGAGGTATAGAAAAGGAAGAAAAAGTGAGCTGGCCTTGTGTAATCTCAAGCGATAATATGGTGGCTGCTTCTGTTTTGCAGGACCACACCCTTTTGGTTCCAGTTGGGTGAAGAGATACTGTACATACATGAAAGAGCAGAAGATATTTAACATGATCACATTTGATCACCGATCTGGAGGGAAAGTGGTCAGTAGTGGTTTTAATTAGCTCCCTTGTATTTCTTTCGCCCCATACATTACTGGAATCCATTCTTAATACTAGCAGCTCTTGGGGTTTTTCATATGGGGCATGAACTACAGTATAGTAGGTACTGTACATGACTTGGCACTACATTTTTTTTTATTTGCACGGAAGGTGGTGTGAATATTGACACAAAAATTTATTTCTTAAGAAATCTCTTAACAAGAACATAAGAAGGCTTACAAACTAACATAACAAACGAGAGGATGCCATTCGACACATCTAGCCTGTTTGGTATATAGGATCTACTGTAATTGATCCAAGGAAAGAGCTCTTTCTTTGAGAAAGCCAGGGCAATAGCTTCACCCACATGGGTGAGTAGCTTGTTCCATCCTTTTTTACCCAGACGGTTGCGGCAGTGTCTCCTGTTCTCGTTTTAAATGAAAAGGTGCCTGCTAGTGCAGTGTAATTTCCTTTTATAAATGGTATTTTTTGTTCAGATATTTTTTACTGTGAATTTCAGAAAGTAAAGTGGAACAACAGGACAATAAATTTCAGAAATGACAAAAATAATCATGGAAAAATACTGGAGTGTTGATGGTACCTTTGTACAAAGTACACAGCTTTGTCCCTGCTGTACCCTACAGCAAAGATACTGTAGAAGCCTGTCAGCTGGTTGGGACACAAGCACAACTCAGAATGGTTTAGATAACTACTCCTTCTTCACGGTATTGACAACCTCAAGAACTGATTTTATAGTACTTCACATATAGTGTTTTATTTATTTGTTGTTGTTACTTTATGTATTATTGTATATTGTGTAGCTCTGGATAAGGGCATCTGCTAAGGAAATAATTCATTTTTCTCAGTTAATCAAAATACTCAAAATGCAGCACAAAAGTTGGACTATGGGACAAAAAAATATGGTTCTGTATTTTATTCACTGATATGCAATTAAATGTTGTCTAGGTGGAGCATTTGAGGTGAAAGAAAGGGAAACTGCATAATATTATAATAATAACAACCATTATCAGAAGGAAGGGGAGTTATCATTCTTAATTCCATCAGAGCTGTTTCTGTTTTTCATAAGATCCTTGGCTTAGTATAGCTTTTGCATATTTAATACTTTACATCAATAACAAAACAGCATAAGCACATTCAATTATATCACACAAGCAAGTGGTTTGAATGGTGTCACAATACATAGCAAGCAAAACAGAACACTTCATATTCTTTTTTAAAATGTTTAGTAGTAGTTAGAGTTTGGTATTTGTTATTAAAATTGCATGTGGAAAGCTGAGAGAACTCAATAAACATTGAGAGGTAAATTCTAGATCTTTATATATTAAAATCTCAATCTTTTGACATTTCACCATCTATAACATTCTTCTTTTCAGGGTCATGCGATTCTGAGTATTAAGTCTCTTGCCCTGTCAGTTTCTGCATTTATGTGATAAAGGCCCTTGTGAAATTTGTGTAGGTGTAGGGGCAGGGATAGTATTGAAACTTGATTCTTTCTGTATCCTTATCTGTTCTTTTAACACAGGAAACAAAAGGTTCTCAGGGGCAGAAAAGAAACTTCGGTGCCACACACTGCTTCTGCACCAGCGTCAGTATGAGAACTCTGACATATTTCAGACAGCAATGAAAGAAAAATTCGCCTTTCATATTGCGTCTAGTGTTAACGAGGCCTTAACCCTGAAAGGTTAAGGGGAGTGCCTAAAAAAGCAATGAAGAGTTGTCCTAATTTAACTGAATATATGGTTCGTTTTAATTTTTACATCTGATATCAGGGGTCCCCTTTCTGAAACGTTTTGCAGGAAATTGCATTAGATAGCTCCCTTCCCAGGGTCTCTCGCACTACATTGTTCTGTCCCGTTTCTCTTAAAGAATTGCTAGGTAAGGGGTGAACTATGGGGCTTCTGTTACTTAACTTTGCACCCCAGATGCCACTCCGAAGGGAGTGCAGGGAGTTGGCACCGCATACAATACCTGCTAGTGAAACCCCCTATTGAACACCTTCAAAAATACAGCATGGACTTTTAGAACATAGCAGAGCTTATGACCCAGTTAATTTTTAAAGAGTTAATTCTTAAGTCATGGATTTTATCTCTTTCACAGTCATAGTCAGACGTGGCTTTACGCCTGGTTTTCATTCAACAGGTTAGGTTTAATGGTTGCAACTTTGAGGTTATTCCCACCGGAGGAGTGTAACCTGATAAGAATTTGTGACAGATTTATATATTTAACATGTATTATTTTATGCCTTATTATAAAACTGAGATGCTGCAAGTTCATTGGAAGCAAAAAGCCATTTGAAATGTAATTATACTGGAGTTAATTAGAAGATGAGAACATAAATGAATGAGCATGCCTGTGAAACATTTACAAAGTTTGACATTACATTACCTTTTGTGAGCTTTGCCATTGTCATTTTAATAAAATACTTTGAAATTATTTTGTGTTAATTAAACAGACAACTGTAACATTATGTTCACAAGCTGGGAAAGTACTTCTATTCCCATTTGAGGTTTTTATTCTGAGAAATGTGAATGGGGCTGCAAGGGGTGTCCCCAGATAAAACACGGAAAAGTAAGTGTTTTCTTCTGGTACATGCTTTTTAAGTTTGATTAAGATTAAGTGGAAGTTAAATAGAAGGAAGTACTGCTGATTTCTGCACTTCAGGGCAAATTTCTAAAATAAAGATGACTCCAGGAATATACATACGGTGTATATATATATGTGTGTGTGTGTGTGCTTTTCCAGTTTAAGACAGAGCTGCTATATAGAAAATGGAAAGAACATGGAGTGAAAAGGTAATAAGTAATTCCAACAAGATTTTGTCTCCACATTCTCTCTGAAATGCAAATATTTAACGTGTTTTTAATATGAAATTGCTGGTTGGAAAAGTAGGAAAGTTTTTTTTCTCTCTCAAAGCTCTGGACTGCATTGCGTTTTTAAACCCCCCTTTGAATACAGTAATATAAAGACAAAATCTATAATGCCAGGTACTGACTATATCTTTCTGCAGGGTGAAACGGAGTCGGTCATCCTGAAGTTCTGTACAAGGAAATCAACTGAGTTGTTCGACAGACGATTTTGCTTAGACATAGAAGTAGCAGACCGGTAAGGGCTTTTTTTTTGTAGTCTTTCAAATGTGGATCACTTAATCTGCACTCTGCATGCCTTTCATAGGAGCATGTAATTGGTTTGCCAGGTGTACTTCGTTTTACCTCTGATGTCAGACAGTGTGGTTCATTGATCACACATGATGACAACGGTAATTAAGAAGGATTAATTGATCTTCAAGGATATTGCATTGCCTGATAATTGACTGCAGCATCGCTGGCAGTACCTATTTATTATATTTTGGATGCATTGTAAATTTAATGTTCTTTATTGCCCTTAGAAGGACAAAAATGACTACTGAAGCAGGCAGTTTTATTACTCTTATTTAGAACTTTTGCATCGCAAGGGTCACACAGTGGTACAGTGGAGGAATATTTGCCCTTCTGCTTTTACGTTCTGCCCCTAATGCTGCATTCTCTTCATCTGTGACACAGACCCGGTGTCGTCCTCACTGTTCAGGCCTTGTCAGAGGAGGACCGTAAGCACTGGATGGAGGCTATGGGTGGTAAAGAGCCAGTACGTCAGCTCTGTGTTTACTGGGACTGTGCTTGCTGCGATATATTTTTTTTGCTTCTTGCCTTGATATCCACATTTCCTATCTTTCATCTTTCTGTGATAAAGAGCTCTTTGAAACTCCCTTGAGACTGTCAAGTAAGTGTTTTCACACCAAAAGGCAGCTCAGCTACTACCTGTTTATGCAGATCTCATCAGCTCTGATTCTTCTCTATGTTGAGCTCAATAGAAAATGTCCAAAATTAACAGTACAGGTTAGGGTTTAATTTTACGGGTTATCTTTTTTAACATTACTTTGATTCCATTTGTACAGGTTAACTTGTTGGGCAAAACATCTTCAAAGAGAGAAGGCAGTAAGTACTTTTTATTTGCATTGTCTACATTGCTTTTTAATTTCACATTTAACTGATGATTTGCTTTAACCACATAGTTTTGCTGTATATAATGTTCATTCACTTAGAACCACCGAGTTACCAAAAAAAACTATAGAAGAAAAGTAGTCTAGTTGTAGAATCAAATTTTGCAAATGCTTTTTGTCAGGGCATATTGATTTCATTTAATTATTTTGGTTCAGGATATCCTAATTCAAAACTTTACATGGTAGTTTTTATGAGGAACTTAAAACTAAGCGTTGAAGGGAAACATGCACATAATGCATATCTTGCATTTCTTAAGTGATAATAAAAAGTAAATTTTAAGCCCTGTTTATGTCAACAGGCAATGTCAACCACTAGCACCTGGCATCCCAGTGTGTGGGGCTTGAGCTCATGCTGTAATGACCACTCACTCTTGTGGCTCTTGTGAACAACTGCTCTTGTGGCTCACCACAAGAGGGCACTGCTGTGGAGCTGGAAGGTGTCAGATTTTTGCTCTGTGAAGGTGTCTTACCATGCGACATTCACGGGCGAACAACTTTTCATTATGGTACAAACTGGATGTTGTGGGGGAAAAAGTATACAAATTTTGGGAACCTTTTTGAACAGGATGGATGCTAGATAATATAAAGTCTGTGCAATGGGGGATGAATATCTGCTATCACAGCTGGTAGTGTACAGGGATAGACATTTATCACAAACAAAGTAGTACACCAAGTTGTAATGCACTAAATCCTGGGTTTCTGTAAAGCATTTGCCGTGAGGTTATCAAAATACTAACAGAATGCTGAGCTGTTTGCAGATTTGCCTGTCTCTCCAGTGATATCATGGCCAGGGTGGAGCACTTAAGCTGCGTATCATCGCAGTTGAAAAGGCAAAGTTCAGTTTGATGATCATATTCTGGGATCAGACTTGTTTTTTATCATCCCCTTCAGACAAAAAACGAAACACACGCAACATATTCCACACTATACGTTAGCATTGAAAATGTGTTCTGACGCACTGAAAGGGCAACAGTATTGAAGAGCTCAGTTTTGGTCTGTTAACTCCCCGATACAGTGTGGGTCTCACAGTGGTGACACCAGTCATTTTATTCCTGATATCTGCTGCCTTGTGCAGCTGTGGTAGAAGTGTGTGGACAGTCAAGGGAGCTTGTGCTGCATGTCGTCCCCACCTATGAAGGTCTACTCTCTTCATATCGATGTGAGCCGAAGTTTTTATTTTGATAAAACTCTCTTATTTCACTCAAGAAATGGAAAATACCAGGTGTCTGCCTTATGTAGTTGGCATGTTGGAGTTGTGTTGAAGTACCAGACCTTTCGACTGTGCCTTCTTTACACCTCTTCTTGTGTAAATTGATGAAGAGCGTTTGACATTTATGACAGCTTGCTTTTCTTCAAATCCCCAAATGTGTGAAATGTCAAGTCTCAAGTAGGATCCTCTGTGCATGTTAAATGCCTCTGTGATTAGCATCTTCAAACTGAAATATTATGGCATTTAACTAGGGGTTTGTTTGACTGGTGCTATATGCTCACTTCAAGCAGAGAAATCCTGCTACTTTGTATTTAAGTTCATTACTTTCAATTGCAGTTGATGCACAACTGGATGAACTTGGATTTTCTTTCGTCAGGAATTCTATCAGTGCAATAGAAAAAAGAGGTAAGTATTAGAATATTGTTTGCGCATACGGAAAAGTAATTGGAAGAATGATCGACATGAAGTCTGCCACACTGACATATGCGCGATTTCACACCTGCACGTTGGTAGTTTCACAGTGAAAATGGGGAAGTATATTATTATAGTCCTGAACCCGACTCCCGTTTCTTTCATGGTGTGGTAATATTTTCTTCAATATTTATATAATATTATTATAATCCTAGTCTATTTATAGTTATAGTCCTGGAATAACAGAGGGAGTGGGTAGGTATTCAGACTAAAATTTAAGAACCGCAAAATTTAAGTCTACCGCAAGAGGGCAGTGGTAAGTTAAAATCTCTTGCAGGTATGCCACAGAACCGTTAGGATTTGTTTTCACCGAGTCAGAATGACGTTCTGCTTAGTATTTAATATTTAAAGAACTGTTTTCAGTTCATTGTCCTACATTTTTATATATAAAGTATGTATTTCTAAAGAAGGTCATATTGTTATGTAAATATATCATCTTTATTACAAATACTGTAAAATATGATAGTATAGGGTTGCACGGTGGCACATTGCTGAGTGTGTATGTTTGTATGTTCTCCCCATGTTCGTGTGGATTTTTGCCAGGTGTTCCAGTTTCCTCTCATAGTCCAAAAACATGCATACAAAATTGTGCTTGTGTGAGTGTGTTTGTGTCTGTGTGTGCGCCCTGTAATGGATTGGTGGCCCATCCAGGGTGTATCCTGGCTCTTACCCATTGCTTGTCGGGATAGGTTTTGGCTTTCCTGCAACCCTGAGTGGTTAGAAAATAGATGAATGGATGTCTGTATTTTTTTCCTGCAGTAGCTTATTGGAATCTCCATTGTCATCACCTGATAAAAACAATACAGAGACAATAAGTCACAAACATACTGTAGCAAAGTATCTCAAGATTTTATCACTGCCTTCAGTTATGTCGCTAAAATAAAACTGGCAGGGAATAAACCTTTGCTTTTTATTGCCTGTCCTGGGTTCTATTCTGATCTAGGATGTCCTGTATGTGGGGTTTGCAAGCTCTTCCCCTGTCCAAGTGGGCTCCAGGCCCAAATATCTCCAGACACTCTGGTTTCCTTCTGCCTTCCACAGACCTGCAGGCTGGGTTAATCAGTCTGTAAGTTCTGGGTGAGTGGCCAGGGTGTAGCCCTGCCTCATACAGTGTGCTATTCAGGATAGAATCTGAATCAGCCCTGACCAGGAGCAAGAGGCTTCTCGATAAGGGGTGAATGTACTGTAAGTTAAAAGTTTTGTAGTGATCTTAAATGATGATCCTAAATTACTTTTAACATCTTGTCACCATAACAAAATAACAAAATATAGGTCATTAGATCTGATGTACTCAATTTAAATTGATACTGTTGATACAGTGCTCACTATAGGTCAATTAAGCATGGTACAAGATGTCCAAAAATGTGTTCTTAGCAAATATTAAAATGAAACCATTAATATGTTCGATCCCTGATTTGCATAAAATCACACTGCAATTGCCTTCTGCATGCGTTTCAAAATATTGCTGTCTTTCTTTTAACAGGAATAACAGACCAGGGGCTGTACAGAGTTGTGGGAGTGAGCTCCAAAGTGCAGAAACTTTTGCATCTGTCACTGGGTAGGTATTGTCATATTAGATAACTTTATCAATTTTGCTTAATATTTAAATGATCATCTTGATTTACCCTTGGTGCGTACAGGTAAGTTAGTATTTACCAGGCTCATAAGGACAATGAAAGTTATTCACATTGATGTGGTGCCAAATTACCGAAAAATCTTGGTCTATAATAATTCTGATTTTCCAGGTCTATATCATTTAGTAAAAATGGCGATAGCAACCATTTTAAAAATTGAGTGCCTTGAAAAGACTGTACACAGCTAATTCAGTCATGATGTTAAGGGTGTAGTAAGGTGAGGGCCAATTCAAAGACAAAGAAGGGTGGGCAATGCAAAGACAGATGAAGACTCATTTTGCTCTACTGTACATGAAAACATGTAGAAACACCCATTACTTCATATCGGCAAGACAGTCAACTAAAATAGTTTCAGTTTTCATTAAAGACATGTAGAGCTGGATACCAATGATATAATAAGAATAATGGTAGAAATTCATCCTGTGACTGAATATCATTACATTTATTCTCATGGTATACTGTAGGTCATGTGTGAATGACCTCAAGCTTTTCACATTCACTGTGGCCACATACTTTGGAGACAGTGGCTGCCCTTGGACTTATGTGCCACACATTCTGTGTCTATACAAGAACAATTTCCTATTCGTTTTCTGCTCTGTCAGGCTTCTGCGTGAGAAAACATACAATAAATAAAAGATACAGATGTCACAGGTACAATGTTAATATGCCCCTGTTAAGCAACTCTTTTCTCCTAAGTGTACTTTGAAAGGTTCTGTCAATATCGGAATGAAATACCCCAAACACAAAATAAAAGTAAGCTGTTTGTGGTTTTTGCCAATGTGAAAATGTATGACAGACTGCAGTGTCTGAATCTCATGGACAGTGTAGGAGTTATATTGGCACTGCTACACGAAGCTAAGAGCAGTTGTTAATACACAGTCTATTTAATATTTATCAAAACATGGCTCAGCGTGCCTTAAGCATAATAGTTTAAAGGAGATCAAAATTAATACACGAACAGACTAAATCTATAGAAAATGAGTGAAATATGAAATAATTTAAATGTACCTGGATGTTTTTCACCGTCTGCAACAGATCTTAACTTTTGGAATATACCGTAATGTATTGTTTTGACGGAAGCTAGAAGTAGAAAAGTAATTTATTCTGGTTTCAAGGTTTCCATTCAGCAAGTAAGTTACTTGGAGTTGTGTTAAGAGAAGAAATAAGACCTTCAAAAGTGTAAATGTCAAAGACACTGCAGAAGCGTCTCCAAATCTAGAAAGCTAAGGCAGGAAAAGACCTTAAGCAGTCTGACTTATTTCTTGAACAAATGAAACAGGGTAGGGTAGTACTCTGTGCAGTGCAATATATTTAATTAGATTGGTACAGTGTGACCTATTGGGTGACTTGGTGTCACGGTGGTTATCATTGCTGCCTTGCAGCTCTAGGGCCCTGGATTCGTTTCTGGATCTGGGGTGCAATCTGTATGGTATTTGCATGGGTTACCTCTGGTCTCCTCCCACATTCCGATGACATACTGATTAGCTAACTGGCTCCTAGGAAGACTGGCCCTTGGGTGTGTATGTGCTTGTGTCTGAGTTTGCCCTGTGATGATCTGGCCTCCCTACCTGGGTGGATCCTGCCAAGTGTGCGTTGCTTGTCAGGATAGGCTCTGGATTCCCTGTGAGCCTGTTAGAAAGTGGATAGATGACATACAGTATATTGGAATGTGTTCCCACAACCATATATTCATTTTTTGAGTAACATGGAGGCAAAGTAGGCATTCTGGATAGACTGTTTGATTAATCATTGTTTTGGGAAATAATATTTCTAAACTTCTTTGACAGGTCATCAGTCCCATTCGGTTAGTCTTTTTTTCTGTAAGATGTACAGTATGTTTTTGTTTTATTTAGCTCAATATAAGTTTTTTTCAAGAGATTCATTAGTTCTCTTATGGTTATGGACCTGTTATCCTTACTCTGTAGAGGATTGTTCTATATTAAACTCTCAAACACAGTAATGTGGTATCTGCAGTTTGCATTTGTCTCAGATTTTTCTTTCATTTCACAAGACTGCAACCTACCTGTTTTCGTTTCTCAAACTGATATGATTTTGGACTTTTGCATGAAACTCTAAAACTCCTTGGCTCAATGAGCCTTCAGAATCTGAGCATATCCAATTCTTAGTTTTTCAGATGTTTGTATATGGGTATAACTAATTTATATAACTCAGAGTTGTTTACCTTTGAAGCACAGTTACCCTCTCCTAACCATGCTTATTGGATTTTTTGTGGTTTCAAAGTCGGTACTGTACAGCATATTAAATACATTTTGAAACCTTGACCCATACAAAACAGCAGGTAACCCAAATTTTTATTTGACCTGTCTCTCTTCAGGTTTTTAAGATTTGAACCCTGTGATACACTAAGTAATGGTAAAAACAAAAAGTGAACATGCATGTTTTTATGTAATACAAAGGGGGCATAACTGCCCACTTGCAATTCTGAAAATGATCTCGGCAGGACTGTGCGTCTGACACTTTCATTGGTATTCAGGTTTGCTTCCACCTGGCGCACTGATCTGCTTAAGGGCCTGGCTGGGTCTTGTCCTTGTGGGCAACACTTGGCTCCCTAGCTGAGTGCAGTAAAATCAGATTGTGATAAACCTCCTTCCCTAGCTCCAGACGACAAAACAACACTGCCTGTGATGTGCAGTGAATGATAAAACATGGGTGTTTCACCTGTCGCAGTCAAGGTTTGTGTGCTCCACATAAAATGTTTGGGCACGCTAGTGGCTTGGCGGTTTGCGCTACTGCCTCACAGCTCCAGGTCTGCAAGTTTCTCCTGTGCGCGCACGTGTTTTCTACAGTTTCCTCCAACCTCCCAAACACATAAGCCCTAAGTTAATTGGTATCTCTGAATTGTCCTTTGTTTTCTGCAAGGTGTATATCCTGAGGTGGAATGGTGCTTTGTGCTGTGGGCCCTGTGTTTCCTGGATACGCTCTGGGTTGCTGTGGCTTTATGACAATAGGTGAATGGATGGATTGTTTAAAGGAAAGGCCCGTTTCTCTCTTTGACATGATGTTTATTATGGTAATGGTGATTTATTCATATTATACACTCTGTGTACATTGCTTCTACATATACTCATTGCCTTCTTTTCAAATTCTCATATATTGTCTTTTGATAGTACAGTACTTGATTCAGCCCGTATTATCTAATTTAGTTGTGAGCTGGGCAATTCTTTTATCAGAATGTCACATTTTCGAGGTGGTCTACCACCTATTTTCTCTAGGAGAAAAGTTTTCTTTATTTCCTTCCTTTATTTAACAATAATCAGTTGAAGTGCTACAGGGTAGGCGAGTGAGCATGATGGGCACAAAAAGTAACTTTTTTTGACATTCAAAAAATAAGTCAACATACCAAAAGAAAAACCTCAACCTCCCACTTCTGAGTCTTGCTTAGCTCATTTTAGAAAATAGGTTCTCCAGCTGGCCTGACCAGTATCCCACATTTCTTTAGTACCTTGTTCTTTTTGGGCTCTGTTACTGTCTTATTTTGTCTTGCCTTTTTGGTCCTATTAGTTGCTGGATTGAAAAAGCCAAAGCCTTTTGTAAAAAATGATTATACAGCATTTGGACCGGTCACAGTTTGATCACAATGAAAGTTCGTTTTAAAGTTTAAAGTTGAAGCAAAGTGATATTTACATTGCACTTCGATTTTGGAACCATGCTTTGCTCATGTATTTCAGCACTAGCACTAATGACGGTGCTTAAGCAAAGCTTTTGATGCGTGGGCTCCTTACAATTTCCTTGTGAAACTTTTTTTAATTAGAAATTCTAATTATTCTTGTTATACTCCCTTGATTTGGAATAGTAGAGTGTTTTTTACATCTTGGCTTGCAGTTATGAAACCTGTTACTGCACACGGGAGAATGAGGAGGTGTAGGCAGATTCCTTAGACACTCTCACCTTCAAGCTGCTAATCTTTTAGTATGTTGCAGCTATACAGCAACTGTACCAAAGGTTCAGCACTGATTGATGAAGTGGCGCATCACAAACCTATAAGCACCCAGTAGGCCACATGGGGTCTCTGTGTCACCAAAAGCTGAATGAACCCTTTTCAAGTGTACCCTTGCTACCATCAGTGGTGCTTGGCCAATTGTGCTCCCTTACTTGGGAAATCCTAGTCCTAGGCTCAAACAGTGCACAGACAAGCACTTACTGTATAGTACTTCAGAGCCTGGTGAAGTGATTTCAGTGGTGGTGTTGTCATTGTCAATGTCTGGTTTTCATTTACAAATAGCCACCTCACAGGGCCTTTTTCTCAGTGCAAACAGTTCAATATGGGTATATAATATATTAGAAAAAAAAATTTGAAAAAGAAATAGAAAGAGAACAACAAAAAATAAATATCCTGTATAATGAGAGTGAACTATATTAACAATGTGTGGATTATGTGTGCGAAGCTGGATATATACTGATAATCAGAAGAAAGGTATAACTATATTTTAGAAACAACATGAATTTTGGCTATTTGGGTATAAATGTTTCTCTTTTTTGAGAAACGCCCTGGGATTTTTAATGACCACAGAGAGTCAGGACCTCAGTTTTTACGTCTCATCCGAAGGACAGTGCCCATTTTCAGTATAGTCACTAGACTGGGGCATTAGGACCCAGACCTCTTCCAGCAGCAACCTTAGTTTTTCCCAGGAGGTCTCTCATTCAGTTACAGGGTGATATGGCTGTTGACGGACATGTAAGTTGAATTAATGCCAGAGGTTTGTGCTAGCTGTTTATTGCAATGCATTTAAAATTATATCCTTTATTTTTAGATGAGAAGACTTACAATGATGTGAATCTGTTGGCCCCTGAAGACTGGGACATTAAAACTATAACAAGTGCACTAAAGCTATATTTAAGGTAACATTAATGTATGTGAGTTGTATATTTTGTACAAATACAATTAGATGGCCTTTTTTATTGTAGTTGTTACAATATGATGTATTACAAAATATACCTTTTCTCTCCCTTTTTAGTTATATTATTGTTGACCTCGGCAGTGACTCTTCCCTGGTGTGTCATAAAGTGAAGAATATTCAAACTGAGAAATTTTTGCCAAAATTTTAATTTGGGCAAACTTTTAATAGAAACGTTTTAAAGTTATTTCTGTTAATTCCTGCCTGCTGTTAATAAAAAAAACCCTGCTTGCCAGACAGAGCTGTACAGTGTTTTTCCAGAGATTATGTAATTTTTGGCTGGGGATCAGTGATATATGCAACTTTTTAAAGATTTCTTGACAACTGAGAGAACCCGGTATGAATAGCTCAGATTTAGGTGGTTTGCTACTGAATGGGAAAAATGAATCGGTAAAGATCTTTTATTTACATTTCAAACAGACCATCGCAGCAAAATATTGACATTACAAAATCAGGGTTAAGTCCAGTAAAGCAACTTAATGCTATATACTGTAAATAAATAAATCATTTTAAATTCTGAGGTATCATTAAACACTATAAAACTATGGTTTATACGTTTTTTTTACAGTACTTTCTTCATTAGTCTCTGTTTAATAGGTTTTGTTGGCTGTAGAGGTAATGAAACAAATTTGTATTTGTTATTGAAAAATAAAAAAATTATGACATAGCATGCATATAACATGCATTTCTCTCCCTAAAGGAAAAGGGCAGAGTTTACACTGTGCAACTTAAGAGACAGGTCATTGCTTTCTCTTACTGGAAACAGCTTAAAATACCACCTAAATTGGAGGCAGAGTATTGTTTGACTCGTGATATTTCAGCATCTGAAATTCCATTTCTTTGATATGCGCACAAGCTACACCCTAGCATAGCAGCCGAAAAAAAGTACTGTCAGAAAACAAAATAAATCTTCAAAAGTTAAGACTGTCAAAATGTATTAATACAAATTTATCTTCTAAGATTTGTGTGTGGAAATACTTTAAACATTTAAAGGTATTGTAACAGTGACAACAGGAGTGAAGGCAGAATACTCATTCAGTTAATTAACAACCCCCTTTGTGCGTGTTACAAAATACGTTTTTAATCTCAATAAGTTTTGGTCTGGTCATTGGTGTGGTAAAATTGTAGTAACAAAAGAATTACATTTGATCACTAAATTGTCATCATAGAAAAGTATGAAGTGGTTATTGCAATATAAACATTTGTATTTTAGAAACGGACCTTTAAATACAGTACCTCCCTCCCATACATTAATTCATTGACATCTCTTTCTAAAACTAAACTTGATTCTATACATGAGCTTAGATTCCATATAGGGGCTATTGATCTTTTCTGCCTGTGTTTTGAAGGAACCTTCCTGAGCCATTGATGACCTATGGGCTTTACAAAGAGTTTATCGTTCCTGCAAGTGAGTATACTTGACCAAACCGAAGATAAAACACACTGACACGCATTGCTAGAAGATTGTTTGTTGGGTTGCATGGATCATTGCCTTTTCAGTGCATTACCATTTGTGTTCGATATAAATGGTTGAATAACTAGTTTAGTCACAGCTTCTTAAAGGTCATTAGTCAATGTTACGTTACTTTTAAGTAACTTTGGGACAATTTAACTTTTAATAGGATAAGATTACTTTATTAGCCACATACAATTTCTTAAATTAGGAATTTGTCTTTTCACATACCCCAGCTTGCTCTCCATGAGACACACAGACAGGAAGAGAAGCTTGGGGTCAGAGTGCAGAGTCAGCCATTTATACTGCACCCCTGGAGCAGTTGGGGTTAAGGGCCTTGCTCAGGGGCCCAACAGAGTAGGATTCCTCTGCCGGTTGCAGGATTTGAACCAGCAACCTCGCAGCCACAGGCGCAGATCCTCAGCCACAGTGTCACTGCTTTTATTACTGTCTTATAAGCAGCACTTACTCCCATTTTCAGCATGAATGAATAGATTAAATACAAAGACCAAGTAATTCAGATTTCCTTGAGATGACTGAAAATGTAAAATATATGTGACTAAAACAAACAGAAAGGGTGGCTTTATGGATATCTAAGTTTAAAACATGTTCTCCTTTAGAATAATTTGAATCTTTTAGATTGATTGCATTTTTTGTAGAACAGAAATAGGAAATTGTTTTGCATTCTCAGTTGGTCCAGAACCTCTGTTCATATTGGAATGAATATCAGGAATATTCTAATCGGTAAGTTTGGAACAAGTAGAGAAACAAGACATGATATTCATGAAAGTGGGTCATAGCCAATATCTGCTTTGAGTAGGCTTTGTACATAAATCACCTGGGATGAAATATGCCCGTTTCTGCAATTTCTTATGCATACACTGTGCAGGTGGAATTTCAAGGAATGAAATGGAACTGGGCGAGATGTTGAATAATTGCAGAAGGCTATTGAATTTTGGAGCCAAAATTTGCTTCTTAATAACCCCCTGCCATTTAGTTTGAGTACATTTTGGTATTCTACAAACTTTGAACAAATTTTATTGACTCATGCAGAAAGAAAATGTTTCTGGTGCCTTGTTAAAAGATTCAGCATAAAATGAATGTTTTTTATATTCATTTTATCAGTTTTAACTTAAACTAGGGCTATTTCTTGTGGGCAGATAACAGGGCTATCATCTAATTTCTACCATGTGAAGAAAGTTCTGACTGCTGCAGGGTGCTTATTCCTGACTGTACCATTTATACCATGTCTGGAGCCCTGTATTAGAGCTTGTTAATGAGAACCACCACTTTTCTAGATTTAAACTAAGTCACCCTAAGGCTGAGCCCAAAAGCAAAGTTACTTGTACTGAGTACAGTTTTGTCTGCCAAATTGGTGTAATTCTCTGACAAAAACTCACTGAAAACATGGTAGAGCATGAGACTCACAATCTCAGGGTAGTGGGTTCATGCCCCACGTCGGGCGCCAGGTTGGAGGGCAAACATCCATTAATGTATGAGAATTAGACATCCCTGTACCTACAGTATTCTGCACATGGGAATTTCATTAATAGTGTGCTCAAGAATTATTGGCATCCTTGATAAAGATGAACAAAAAACAGCACAGATAATGAGCCAAAATAATTCTTGAGACTTACATACACTGTATGTGTGTATATCACGATAAGAGTGGGAGCTGCAAAAACATGAGTACTGTAAATATGCTGTAAAGTGTAAAGAATGAACATGGAGTGTAGAGCCTTCTTCAGTTTTTTGGGAATCTTGAACACAACACAAGTTGGCATGTCACCGTTAATTCATATTTCTTCTTAGATCTTTGCTTTCATGGTTGGGAGTATTTTTGTCTGAATTTGAACTTTTTGGACTTTTTTCAGTTTGGGTTTTACAAAGTGTTTTTAGTAAGTTTTTACTATTATCAACTAGCTGATACTGCATTGCTATTTTGTTTTTTAAAACAGAATGTGGCAGTCCTGGCTCCAGAGTACATGCAATTCATTATTTGGTTCACAAACTTCCAGAAAAGAACCAAGTGATGCTGGAAATACTGATGAAACACTTAGCCAAGTAAGCTGCTTTTATTGAGTGTTCATTCATCCTGTTATTCTGCTTTTAAAGTTGGTTAACAAGGTATTTCCAATGGGCTGTCACTAGGGTGTAACACTTGTTTATGTTGCTCCCTGTTCACTAAGTGTGTTCAAGAAGAAATGGGTTCACATTTTTTCCCTGCAAGAGGTCTTTCCGTGATTCTGTTATTTTGTCAATGCTCTAAAAAGGTCCAGTGGTCGTAAGAATTAAGTTGATTTGACTAGTTTTATCAGTTTACAATCAAATGGAAAGAACATCTTACTTTAATGGCAAAAGATCTGCTTTAGGTATTAAAAAAGCTTGTCGTACAGTATAGGAGCCCAGTCCAATTTATGTCCAAGAATGGCATTATTTGTGGATCCTAAAAGAGCTTAAGAATATAAGTGCATGAGTAGCAGAATTTCAGCAGAAACAGTGCAAATGCTTCAGAAACTGCATTTTCTATCTGAAAATTGAACCCAGTTTCCAGGACAGTTTTAAGGACTCTTCTCAATTATTGAAGGAAGGACAGAACAAATAACAGCAATGATCCTTTCCATGTGCATTTCTCATTAAAACCAGACGTAGTCTCAAACAAGAAAACCAGATCTCTACATCTTTTCCAATTCTCTAAAACCTAAAGAGAAAATAATAAATTAAAAGACAAACTAAAAACTGAATAATAAAGACATGTAAAACTTAATTTCCTAAAACCGTAAGTGGGAAAGAGAGCAGAAGTGGAATTTCCTTAGAATAATATCTCTGCACAGTCCAATGTTTGTGTGGTTTGTATCAGATGTGAATGACGAAAGGATTTTGGAAAAGTGGGCTATACTTCATTTTGGAAAGGATCAGCAAGATCAGTAGATGACAAAATTATAGGAGTAAGGTTTTAAGGGTAAAACCTTTGTCAATAAGCAACAAAACAAAATGATTGTTTGCCAATATCGAATGACAGCTCATTAGAGAGCCTATAACCTCCAGGTAATAAAGAAGTCAGAGAGTGTGTATCAGTTAAGGTGAGGCTGGTTATCACACACTGCATGTCATGGAAATGTGAGAAACTTCATCCTGGCCATTCTCTTACTGCATGTTTTTTTTTAGCTTTTTAAAATTTGCTGTTGGATAGGAACCAGCCTAATTTATCATCTGTCCACTGCTGCTTTTTCTGTATTCTGTCTTTAAATTTTACTTTAACTTAAACCTTAATGGCTCTAAGAGATCTCCCGACCTGATTATTAGATAAGTCTTTCTTTCCTTAACATGGCATACCATGTGTGAAAACAGTACCTACTGTATATTATTGGATGTAGAAGAAAACACAGAACTTGAAAAAATACAGGAATGGAAGAGTTTGTGTTCTTTGAGTTTGTGTTTTTGCCGTAGTTCTCTTGAAAAGGCTCTTTTTTCCCCTTTTGTTATTTTCAGTGTTGCTGCTAACTGCAAGCAGAACCTGATGACAGTGGCAAACCTAGGCGTTGTGTTTGGTCCCACCCTCATGAGGCCACAGGAAGAAACGGTTGCAGCCATTATGGATCTGAAATTTCAGAACATTGTGGTAGAGATTCTCATAGAAAATCATGAGACGGTGAGTTTCGTTTACTCCAAAGTCTTAAAAAATATTTTCTTTTCTCTTGAAATGTTCCTGCCATCACATTAGTGTTAACCTTTAATTATGAAAATCATCTGATAAAAGCAGAACATCAGCCAGATTATTCACGTGATTGAGGAGAGTTGTTCAAAATCAATATTGGGGCTAGTTTGACGTTTCATAGCATTCGAAGTGTCACAATGACTGAATTCTCCTGTTGCAGTTTTTGTCTGAACATTGCCAGTACTGTGCAAACTTTTTTGAATTGAAGGAAGCATCCAGTAGCTGAAACACCCTCGGAAAAAGTAACTGGTATTTAAGAGTCATTAATTCAAATCCCAAAATTTACTTCTGTGTAACTAAAATATAAAAAATAATGTAACTGTGACGTTAGATTTACAGAGATTACATTTTTTTTTATTTTGGGAGATGTTGGGTTTGCATGTTTTTGGCTTTGTTTCTGAATAAGATTTGTTCACAATTTACTTTGTTTACCTAAATATGATGTTATACTTTTAATTCTGTGTTAACTTAATAAGAAGAAATAGTCATAAATCTTAAAATACATTGAATTTGACATTGAAAGTTATGGATAGAAACCCCAAGACAAGGTATTTTATAACAATCGTTTAGATTTGAATCCTACAGTTTATTAAAAAAAAATTGTCCAGTAGAGGGTGCCCATATATTTTTACAATGTTAAATGATAGTTAAACTGTTCTGAATTACACTATATACATATTTAGGTCACCTTTTAAATTGTTTTTCTAAAATATTAAAGACTTATGAATTTGCAAGAATCTGGTAACATATCCAGGAGAAATAATTCAATGAGACAGATTTTAGTTACTGTTGAATCAGATTACTGATGGATTCAAGATTCTAATTTATATTAAGTGAACCTTGTATGTGTGTTTATTCTTATGTTTACTATCTACTGTGTATTTGAAATTGGAAATTTAAATATTTGCTGTATTTAGCATAATGTTCCATTTTCTAAAAACAGTGTTGTGTGTATTTCCTTCAGTTAGATGTTTACTCTTCGTCTTTAAGTGGTCTTCTCCTGTCTTTTAATATCCAAGAAGCAGTCTGTATTAAACTTCATACAGTATGTGGAGATGAAGGGAAGCTACTGCCAAAAAGATTTTTACAGTACCTCTGCGCATATTGTGGGTTACAGTATTACTGCTATTTAAAAATATCACATCAGGAGACTAAGTATTTTTCTGTGCTTTATATTTTAAATCCCACACAAACTCCTAAATAGTTAATAAAATATAGAAATCAATACCTGCTTCCTCTTCTTTTTGTGCATTTTCTTCTTAGTGTGTAATTGAATAAATGTGCCTGGCACTTTGGCTTGCTGTGGTGTGGAGCTGCATACAGTTTGTTAGCCACTGCAAGTAAGTTGTAAATTGGAAACGTAACCCGTGAATTTTATATGAATTTGTAGATTTCTCTAGACCCAACATACTTTGATATACTGCTGTTTGATTTTTAATTAAGTTATTTGCAGAGCGTTTAATGTGTAGACATTTAATGTGTATATAGAAAACATTCAGTGTTTGATCCATGGCGTAGTCCCAGAGCATTATGGGGAAAGTTCTTGGCGTGACTGCTCACGGAATCTGAACACACTCCAAAACAAATTCTGCTTCTCACTGCTGCTGTTTGTAGCAATAAGCAAAGCTGCTTCTTGGCTTTGCTCAACAATTGATCCTTTAATAAACTGATTGCAGATTTTCGGGGGTCCTCCTGATGCGTTCTCGCCCATGACGATGCCTTCTCTCACAGCCCCAACCCGGTCATCCAAGAAACAGAGCCGCTTAAACAGGCCGCTCGCAGTATACAACCCTAATGTGGAGCTTCAAGGAGGTAAGCTGAGGTTTACCCTCTGTGGCATTTCACACAAGATCAATAAGGAGTTGTGGAAGCAAAAATATAAGAAGCATAAAATGCTGTTTTTTCCCATGTTTGGATTCTGCCTAGTATTCGTTTAAGGTATGTTGAAGATAATGGTTTTTAATTTGGGGCACAGTCAGGCCTGTGTCGGCAAATGTTCTGTTTTTTATTCATTCTCATTTATCACATGATTATGATCCTTCTGCCAGTTTTGAACAGCAAAGTCTTTACATATGCTGACTATCCATTACTGAATCTGTCCTAACATTGTGAGGCAGGTGAACTGGATAATTTGGACCTTTGCCCTGAAAAAGTTGCTGCCAAGTTTTTGCCACATTTCTGTTCTTGGGAATCCTAAAAGAAACTAAATTTGCCTACCATATTGTTCTTCCTATTACTCAAGGTTTTACTATAGAGATCTTATAGTCTGCAATTGAATATGTAGTCTGTTACTTCTTTCATTAGGTTGGAAGATGATGATTTAAAATCTCTTTACAGAATTCTACATAGTGTGTGTGGTCAGTCAGGTCTTTCTTGCATTTTAAATTTTACCCTCATTAAGCTACTTCATTTATCAATACATTTTCACTATTGCAGCTTTCCAGCAAAGTACTGAAGACCTTTGTATAATAGATACAGAATATATTAGCACCATATTAAAATAAAGATATATTGTAGCATTATTCATTATCTGTTCCTAGAATAGTAGTTTTTTATAATTGATGTTAGTGTTTTTCAAGATGTTTGTCACAATTTAAGTGCATGGATGGTTATTCTTAAGAATTATAAATAGAACTGTCCATGTTGAAGTCGTTTCTCTGTAACTTGATGGTTATTACATCTATCCGAAGTAATGTGAAAGTCTTAAACAGGTCTTGTGTATTCATAGTTATTGTTTAAAAAAGCTGTATTCGAAAATGGAGTTACAAATGGCCCATTTTTTTAGATCACCAGTTGTTTTATAGACTGGGGTCTCACCTGCCACACCTGCTCTGGACAGGGTGAAATGTACAGCTGTGCTTCTCTGACACACCTGCCTGCAGAGCCATTCATCTTTTGAAACACTGCGAGTTCCACAGCGCGTGACAGTAGAGTTTGCTCTGATTGGAGGAATGGCACATCGCTCTGCCATCAATACAAGAATGCAGATGCTCAGAAAGACAATGTGTCAGTCTTTGCTGCAAAGCCGATTAAGCTCTGGCCAGCTAATGCCAGTTGCATTGCTGCTGTTCTTCCACTTCAGTTAGAGGAGCGGTGCATCCCTTAGTGATAGTGCCACAAGCACACAGGCACCCAGGAGTATAAAGCCCTATCTGAGTAATTCACACCTAGAAACCCCAACATACTCATCTAATTGTTCTCCATAATTTCAGGAATCCTGGTTCAAGTGAGGTAGTGACAGACCCAGCACTGGACCTGCGAATGTAGAGATCAGCTTGTGCCTGGCTTAGCGTCTTTATTACTTGAGACACTCATGAGGCTGGCAACATACTGTATTTTACTGTATTACTTTATAAACCTGCAAAGTATCAGGAATCATGACATAAAGATCTTTTCCCAAAGGGAATTAACTAATCCCCGCCTCCCTTTTTTTTAAATCTGAAGCCTTTCAGTAGAATCATCACTTATATAATCCTATTTGTTTTGCCATCATGTCACACCTAATTAACTACATATTGTATTGTTTCATTCTCATCATGACCTCTGGAAGTCTTTCCAAACTTCACATTTCTAATGGGTCATCTAGGCAAAAGGAAAACATGGTTAGTTCACAGTTTGACAATCACTTGGATTTTTATTTGTTTTCGGTTTCCAATTGCATCTTCAGTCTGATCTGTGTAAAAGCTTCAGAATAATGTCTCATCCATTTTCTAACTGCTTCATTCAGTTCAGGGTTGCTGGGTCGCCAGTCCATCTCAGGGCAGACAGACACAAAAAGACAAAAACTAACATGGCTTAAATTCCAGTGAGCGCTGCTCAAGTTTAATATCATGAAGTACATTTCTCTCACTTATGTGCTGCGAAAGTATTTATGATCCACATTTTCTTTATGATCATGCAAATTAGTTTAAGTGCCTGGGGCAGACTATAAAGAAGTCACACTGTGTACAGATTTCAGATCTGACAGAAAGGGTACTTTGCAAAACTTTGCAAAATGCTGAATAACAGGGTTGGATGTTAGTGACAGAGAATAATAAACACAGCATTTAAGATTCAACTATTCCAGTCAGTGCTAATTAAGAACATTTGTTATTCAGTTGTTGACCAAATAGTATCTCTGAAAGTCTTAAGCCCACATTGAAAAATGGAAATGTTAATGGCAGTAATAATCAATCTTGCTCACATAATTGTGTGATGTAGGTTATCCAAGCAATGTATTACAGTAAAAAAATTAAAATGGTAACTTTTTCTGTGAGAATATTGTGGCAGAGGCTTATTGTTTTATGTCTCCCAAAATTATTAAATTAAATGTATTTTATCAGCATAGTAGAAATGCTACACTTATAATTAGAAACAGGATTTGGAGCTTTTGAATGCCAAAACCGGAAAATGATGAAAGAATGGAAAGATGATTGGGTTCCAGTAGAACAGTTCAGAAGTTTTCCTCCTACAGTATATTAAATTCTCTTCCCCCATTACAATGAGAGCACTTGTCATTTGTTCCTGAAGGAAGCTCCTGCATTTTAGGGAAGTAATAGGTTACAGAATCCCAAATATCTCATCACCTTTTTCTCCTTGTTTTAGAAGAGAGCATTTTCTTTTAAAGGGTGTTGATAATTATTTACTTTGTTTTTTTAGATAACATGAAAATTTAGTTAACCTACAGTATCCTGTAGGTCCCCCATTCTTTCCAAACAGCGGGTAGAGTGATATATACTTCAACAACAGAAGACCCAGATAATTTTATTGTAGGTTTTGGTTAAAGTAACTTCTCAGGAGTGTAATTGGGTGGGTTACCATGGAAACCCAAATTTCTTAAATATTGCTAGTTAATTGAGAGGGGTTGTGTGTTGCGAGTGTTTTCAAAAAATGACGTAGGTTTATTGAAATATTAGTATATCTTAAAAAGGATTTGTCCTCTAATAGTGAGTAGTATCTAGATGAAAATGGATCTTTTAAGAGCTTTAACAGCTGGGAATTTTCAATGCTGTCTGTGACCCAAAGAGAAATACTCTGACTGGCTTCTATTATCAAACCAGTGACAGACTTGCCAGATGTCATTCTTAAGTTTCTTTTTATGGGCCCCTATCTCTGCCTTTTCCTAATGTGTATTCTCCAAACCCAGTATACAGTATACTTCTCTCTTCTTTTGTTTCTAGCTGATTGTCCAAACTCCATTGTCCAAGACAACACTTCACTGGGCAGTACGGAGTCCGTTTCCTCCCAGTCTTCTGCTACCTCTGGCAGTCCTCCACAGAAGGCCAGGAATCACCTAAATACCAATGGTGGGAGCCTAACAGATGGTTCTGGGTGAGTAAGGATACATAGAAAAAGCCTAACCTGGATAGTGTGCCACATGGAGAGCAGACGGCTTAAATTCCAGTGTGACATGTTGTCAGTACAAAGTGCTTCTTTCTCAACCAGATATTACCCAGAGTAATAAGTGCTTCTTGTCAACTGGATATAACCCAGAGTGTCATTTCACTGGACATGAGCCAAACAGGCAATCAGAGTACCCTTACACTCCATCTTTCCGTTAACCTTTACACCTGGCCTTTTAACTACTGCGACTGTGTACCTTTCTCTTAACTTAGTTTTGGTGTGTCACCTGTGCTTTGATGGTTCATAAATCTTTTAGAGTTATAAAGCAGTGTTAGTTGCACTAGCGCTAATGTACTGTACCTATGAGGTAGGCCATAGCCTCTCTCTGGCTGAGTTTTTTAGAGAAGGTTAATCCTACAGCACTTCTCACACCAGGGCAAACATGACTTTCTGGTTCTTTAACCAAGAGTGCGGCTTTATTTAACGAGTAAAATGTCAAACCTAATGTGAGTTCAGCTGATTCAAATCTGCACAGTGTTCCCTTTTCCTTAGTGCGTGAAAACTACATCAACCGAAAATATGGTTCGCCAGATGTCCTTTGCAATCGCCTTTCTTTCATTTCTCTAAATTGTTCAAAATCTGTCTACTGTTTCTAAAATTGTTATACCTGCAGTGAGCAAGTTGCCAGTACTGCAGCTTATTCTCCTGCCTCTGTGAAGCTCTGTCTCAAAGCAACCAGCTGTGAGGATTTGCAGTGCAGGATCTGCGGTAATTTCCTGCCCACCCAAAATTATGGCATTCTTTCCCGCTTGCTCAGTTCAGATATGGAAACTAGCCACAGAAGCCAAAGCTTGCCACTGTTTCTCCCCGTGTTCATTTATTTCAAATATGTTGAGGTTAAAAGGCTTATAGTGGAAATTCTTAAACTAATGTGAAACAGAACACTTTCCTGGCTGTATCACACCAGTCCACAAAAATATAACACAAGAAAAAAAAGAACTTATGTGAGGTCTAATGATTAAATAAAAATGTATTACTTGCACTAAGAGTAAGACAAAGACAGGGACCATCCTTTGTTATAGGAACATTGATACAACATCTATCCACTCGTTTTTAAACTCTTTATCTAATACAGAGTTGCGGGGACTGATGAAAAATGGGTCTTTGTTTCCTATGATTTCAAGCAATTGTGTTTCACACTGCTTTCTGCAAAATATTGTTTTCTGGGGTGCAGTGCCGCAAGCTTTATACATATGTAAATCCATCTGTCTTGAGAACTGCAATTAAGAAGTGGTGCTATTGAAAGACATGGCTAGAATGTTTTATTTGAATTGTGCTCTGGCCTGTATTGTCTTCATAAGTGCCAGTGGAAAAAAAAAAGATGATGACGAACTGTTCTGGAACAGAACTAGAGCAGATGTGCTAAAAAGGCATTCTGTTGGCTTACTCTTCAGACAGATGTGTATGCATTTGTATAAGTAGATTCAGAACACAAGGTTATGGAGACAATATACTGTAGGATATGTGAAAACACATATACAGTACTTATGTACTGTGGGTAATAATACTTTTCAGTAGGGTACCCAAGGCCCTGACTAGCAATGCCATAGTTTTATATGAAAGTACAATTTCAAACGGGGAAATGGGTATAGCAGAATACTGTGAGTACAGTAAAACTGCATGGAAGCAAATGAATACTTTCTTTTCCTTCTCTTGAAATATAAATGTCACCTGCTCTAGTTCCAGTATATCTACTTCTTTGGTTTGGTTCCCACTGAAACAAGAACGGTACTGACATAAGTCTTCATCATAACTGCTTATTTCTAATACGGTTCTCCATTTTCTTCTCTGTATAATTTATCTAACCAATTTCTTTTGCTTGGCCTGGGTGACCTAAATGCAATTTTAGTTCAATACATTTTCCTTAAAGGACTAGTTGCCAAGAGCAACTGTTGAAAGCTGTGCTGAACTGTTTATTTCAGACAGTTTTTGAGGATTTTTCATGTGGCATCCCAACCATGTACAGAAGGTTATCTATTTGTTTTTTTTGTTTGTCACAAGAATTGCTATTAATATATCTCCACAAACAGTTATGGCCTTTAAGTAATTGGCGAACGTTGATAAATACATTTGGAAGGTTTTCAGTACTACTTTCTGTGAAGGACAAAACATTGAAGGCAAATAAAAGCAGGGCATGCGTTGTGAAGTTGGTTTCAGTGTAAGGGCTAGAAGTGAAAGTCCAGGGGTGTGTTAGCTGTGGCTGTGGGCCCTGCCTGCGCCTGAGCTCTGCTGTGGCTGGGTGGTAGTTGCAGACTTGGCAGCAGGCCACCCAGACAATATAAGGTTAATGAGTGGATTTTCTGTGCCGTCACATGTTGTCCCCCATGCTGATGTGGAGCAGCCGAGTACCAGGGAACGACTGCAGAGCCATAAATCACAGCCAATGTGATTCGACTGGAAGGCAGCAGAGCTGTGTGTTCACCTTTCACAATGTCCTGCGGCTCTTCCTCAGCTGCTTTGTTTAATTGCTCGTATTATTGTCTCTATGGGAGCAATTGGTAGGAGCAATTTAATGATTATTTTCTGCATTAGCAGGCCCCTCGGAGTAAGTGTGAAGTTCCGAGAGATGCTTCAGAGTTGAATTTACAGAATGCCAGGCATATTTATGGATTAAATAGTGAAGACCTCCCACTGCTGTTGGGAGCACTCAGATATTCTCTGAACACAAGATTCTCTGAACACAATTAGTATACTGCACTATGCAGAGTGGTCCTTATCAATTCTGCCATTCTGATGTGAGCAATTGACCACGTTTTACATTAAGGCACGCGTGATTAAAACCTTAAATGATAATGCTGCTTTCATCACTTCTGGTGGGTTGTTTAATACATTGCTTTAATATTTTCTTTCAATTAAAACTTTTTTTCTCTTCTAAAGTAAAAAATGTTTGTACAGACACCTAAATTATTTTTTCTTCATATTCCCTCCCAAGGAACTTTTAATCTTTACACCAAATTATGCATCAGCATAAGAGAGATTTACTCAAGCCCATATAATTAACAGCCTCATCCAACTTACATTTAAGCAGATCTTCATATTAAAGTGTACCAAGTAACCCATGCGACGATGAAGCAGTGGCATTGATCAATGTTGATCTTCTATTCAAATGAATCTGTCCTCCCCCAGTCGAAAGGGATGTGTGTGATGGACACGTATTCAATTTAGGTTGTATCCTGCCTTGCACCTGTAGTCTGTCGAATTAGGCTGAGGCTCACTGTGAGCCTGTATCGAACTAGTACTCGTTAAAGTTGATTTGATTAAATGAATCTGCTACATTTATAGGACATACAGCACTATAGAAATGTAAGTAAAATCTTTGAATGAGTATCTAATAAGAGTGGGTTATCAGTTTCATGTCTCATGTTGGAACAACAATGCTTCTTAAAAATACTCTAACAAACTATTTGAAGCTACGGTTCATTGTTTTTCACAGGAGGAATATTGAATCTGACTAACTTTCATTTGCATGTATTGTGATTTTCAGAGATGATTTGTTGGAAGTCATGTTTGGTTTAGACAGGAGGAAAACAATGCAATATCCTTTTTTAACTGCTCATTCCAGTAAATTGAAAATGCATCCTAAAAGGAAATAATGTCCAAATCTGGTGTTTATAGTTGTAAATGACTCGTGGACAATCTTTTGAAATGCAGTTAGTGTCCTAGTCTTTATTTTTTGACAGGCAACTCTTTATTAAAGCAGTTATTGTTTCATCCATTTTCACCACTGTTCATGTGAAACAGTGGGATTTTTCTGTTTGAATGTATCAGAGCTTCCATTCCTTCATCTCTTGGACACTTTGAAGATCAAATTATAGTTTTTGTTTTTTCTTAACATTTAAGTATTAATGTTAAGAACATTTAAATAACATTTAATTTATAACTGGAAATCAACTTTTCCATTTTATTTAAAGTTCAAAACTTATTTCAAATTAAAACCTTTCAATTTAAATTAGTTAATAAAACATAGGGCTTTTAAAATATTTTATAATTCAGCTAGTGTTTTGGGGGGTTTTCCTGTTACTTGTGCAGTCTGTTCATTCTTACCTTTGCTTTGTTAGAACCTTCAGGCTCCTCTTTGTATTTTGAATACAGATGAGAAAACTAAATTAAACTGACAAGAAAATATCTACATGATAGAGAAAAACATATAGGGATGTTAATGTTAATAGTTTAAATGTTTACAGATAATTCAGTCCTGACACTTCCTTGAGTGCAAGCAATTTATAAAAGTTAAAATGATAAATAACCCACTTGTCAGGCAATTCCGAGGAAGGTCACTTAGTTTCTTAAATCTTATGTGAAAGAATTGATGGTATACAAATGAATAGGCAACAGTGTAAAAGACATAGTCACATTTAAGACCTAAAACATACAAATTAATAATAAGTCTTATGTAATAATCAAACTTTATAATAAAAGACTGAGCTCTACAACAAATCGCCCACCTAAATTTAACCTTTATTTGTATAATTTTTTTAGTTTAGTATGCATAGGTGAGATTGCTTTTATAAATTAAATAACTCTCCACAGGTGAGCCCATCTTCTTAACTCAAGTTAATAGAAGACAACCAGAGTCTCGCAAGTGGCTCCCAGTTAAGGCGCTCACCTGAACTCAGAGTTGGAGCCTTGGTTATCAGGGGGTAGAGCCATTAGTGTCATGTAAATTTAGCCAGGCATCGGGGTGCAATTCACCACACTCTGCGGTGGACAGGTTTGGATTGGTTGGTCAGAGCAGTCATGGCAGCACGTCAACCCCTCCGGCCTCATAGGCCCTTGCAGTGTTGTGGGGACGCGACTCTTCCAATTAACACTATGCCTCTGGTACAGGGCTGTAGTGCCGGTGATGTGTGAACACACATGTTTTCAAAGACCTCAGGTTTCAAAGGTTGGTGGGTTGGAGGAGTCCATCTACACTTCCTCACTCAGCTCTGCGTGCGTTTACAGGGTTCATACTGTGGCTGCAAAAAGATGTGAAAAACAAGTGGCCTGGTAAAACAAAAATAATTGGCAATTCTCAATTTTGAAAAAAAGAGACAGCCTTTGGTTGTCGATGCATTCAGATAATTTTGACAATGTCTGCTTGGCAGATTTAAAACAAAATTAAAGAGTTCCATCCAAAAACAGAAAATAAATACATTTTAACAAGGGGTAATCAAGTGACAAGGGAAGGCTATAATTTTCTCACTCCTGTCTGTTCTCTTACTCTCCTGCTAAAATCCTCTTTCTGTAATTCGTTTCTGTTCCCAGTCTTTTTAAGTCGGTCACAAGGGCTACTAGTCATCTTCTGGAAGGCTCCAGCCTGATGCATGGTCCAGCCACCTAGTCTTCAGTCAGATCAGACTGACATCTTAGTTTGACATCAGTGCAGCTGTGCAAACGCCCACATACCCGTTTCATCTGCTGTAGCCATTCCTGATGTACTGAATCCAGGGGAGAGGACTGGCAGTCCCTTTCTAAAATAAGAGTTAATAATTGTTATAAGATTTTAATGGTGTAAGCTTTATATGGACAATAAGAAAATTGATAAAAATACAATTGAGACAAGAATATTGCAGTTTCTTTACATGTGCCTTTATTAACCCTCCCAAAATGAATTCTGTATTTTCTTGGCTGTTTATTATGAAACTTTCCTCTTTGTATCCTCACTTATGGCAACAGCCGGCACTGCATATACTGTGGGAATTCTGTTACACAGCTTAATATGTTATATCTGTTTTTGTTCATAAAACATCATAGAATTAAGTTGAAAAATCCTTAACCTGTCAGTTGCTTTCCTGGTCATAAAAAAACTTTATTTCTTCTTACAAAATTTTTCCTCTTGAAGCTAAAAAACATTTGAATATTTATTTGGCCTGTCTTTAGTTAACTGCTTTGGAAATGTTCTCGAGAGCAAACGCCTCTGGTTCAGTTGCACATTGCTTGTTCACAATCCATCGCATAACAAAGGACCATATCCAAGATTCAGTCAACACTTTTGTTTCCCATCTGACTAACCTTGATTTGCGCTTAATTGTATGGTTCTTCTTTTGATGTTTCCTTCACTTTGTGCAGTCTGTATGGCTTTTTCAGTTGGTTTGCTAATTCTGCACGTACTTAATTGTTTTTGTCTCTGATTTAATAAGCTTTCTAATACACACACTTGATACTTTGGCTCCTCTTCCATACTGATATTTCATCTCCTTCCTTGAAGGAGCCCTTTCAAACTACCTGTTTTGTCAATTAAACAAACAGAACCTTCTTAATCTTGCATAAGAGAGGGCTACGTGGGGACCTGATACAGATACTCAAACTCCTTAAAAGGTCAATGCAGTGGACTTCTTCAAAGTTTTAACAGTGTAACAAGAACCAGAGGGCACAAGTGGAACAGGGAAGTGCATTTAAAACTGAAACAGGATGCACTTCTTTACCCAAAGGGTTGTGCCAGTATGGAACAAACTATGCAGACCCTGGCTTCTTTCAAGAAACAGCTGAATGAGATCTTTGGATAAATTAGCCAGTAGCTACAAAACATGCTAGGTGGGCCGAGTAGCTGTTGTAACTGTTATCAATCAGCAGCTGCCAGCCGGTCATCCAGTATGTCCTAAATCTTTACATGACCTTCCTGTTTCACTTTTAAATGTTGTGTGCAGCCTTTTCACTAAAGCTAATTCACTCTCAAGCCAAATCCATAGCTTTTTTTAGAAACGGCTGGATGTGATTCTCTTTTAGCCATTAAAACAGGATTGTGGCCCCAAGAAAAAAACAACTGGAAAACGATTTCTGGCTGCTTTGAACTATTTTATATGGCATAATTATTGTTGATCTTAACACTTATAGGTTAGCAATAAATTACGTTATTTTTACATAATTGGTCTTTGGTCTCTGGTTGCTCTGGTTTCCTCCTGCATTACAAAGACACTGATAGTTCAATTAGCTTCTGGGAAAATTGTCTTTGTCTGCATGTGTCCAGTGACAGACTTGTGTCCTGACCAGGGTTTATCAAGCCTTGACTCCATTGCTTGCCCATGTAGGCTCCAGCTCCCCCATGACCCCGTTCTGGAAAAAGTCTTTATCTAAAAAAAATGATTTCCAGTCCCAAACCCCCTCTACTCATTTCAGTAACATCCAGTCAACTTAAATGTTGTGTTCACTATAAAGTACTCTCTTAAGAAATTATAATCATGGTAATGTTTTTAAAGTTTAGAAAATGCTGACTCAAAGACACTTTAGTGACAGACTTCGTTCAATAAGTCGGTTAAGCGATTGACATTAAATGAAAGTTGTAAAGAATAATTCATCAGTTAAGGTGTCCTTGTAGAAGTAACTGTAGTCTTTCAAGTATGATAGTGTGGGTTTATAGTCAAGAGTGAAGTGAATCCTGAGACCTTTATCCCAGCACTTGCCAGCGACAGGCCAGATACAGTTTTGGAGACCAGTCCCAGATAGTGTGGATCCAAGTTCTGTCTCCTGTTTTCCCAGACAACCTCGCTCTCCTATGGTTTTATGGATGAATTCAGGGCCACTCTCCTCCACCCCTCAGGCAAGCCCTCTGCCCGCAGGAGATCAGAATGACAAACAAGACGGGTAAGACATTGTTCTCTGAGCTACAGTTAGGGATTCAGATGAAGAGCTTTTTCTTCTAGCTTGTACCCCTCTATTTCCCCAGTATGTTTGAAGTGAGTGAACTACTGTGCAACAACAGGTAAGAGAAAATGTGTATCAAAGCACATTCTTGCCTAGGAGTCTGTTTTTCTTAGTAATCAAGAGCGAATAAACTGAAAGTTTTTGTTGTTGTTTTAGTGAATGAAAATCTTATTTTTTACATAAAGCTGTTAAGTATTAGTGGTCAAAACATAGTGGGGCCTGCTATAGAGACTGCTGTTAGAAAATAATGTGCAGGATTAGGAACTAGATCATAAGAAATAAAATAAAAAAAAATAATTTAAAAGGTTATTGTTGGTAAATTATTAGTAAGGAATTCAACAGCAATTATTTCCATTCCACAACAACTAATTTGAAATGAAATAAGATGTTTTTGTGAATAAAATGGGATCCCAGGTTTTTCAGAGAGATTGCTGCCACAATTTAATACTAAAGATCAATTATGTACATAATGATTGTACTATGTAATTGTTACTTCATATACAGTATATGGAAAAAATGTTATAACTCTGAGAAGACAAAAATGATACTGTACTTTGAAGTGGAAGACAAATACCAAAAACTTAATTTCCTGCATTATTGAAGATGGATAACCTACAGAAGGTTCTGATAAGGTTCAAATATAACTGTGCTTTAGATGAACCAATCCAAGTACTAAGTTATTGAGATTTATTTTATGTACTTTATTCTCATATAAGTATCTAAACAGAGATAGCAGACCATCTCTTTCCAACTTTGGCATGTTTTTTCCATAGTGAATCAGTTATTTGAGTTTGTTGACAGAATTACAATACTATTGTTGCAGGAAGAGATATGGACAAGCAGGTTTTGACTGAGTTTGTTTGGATTCCATACCTCTCACATTTGTTATTCTTAATCTCCTGCCATTTCAGGCATAACATGGCCTAAATTGAACTGTTGTTCAATCCTCTAAAGCCTGTGACTGCTGATTACCTCCATTTTTCAGTGTCACAAACAGGAAAGCCAAAGCAGTGTATCCATGTGAAGCTGAGCATGATTCTGAGTTATCATTCCAGGCCGGCGCAATATTTGAAGATGGTAAGTGTTATCGCTATTGCTAGTCGGCCACGCAGAACTGTAAACATATTGGATTTCTACAAACTGAGCAGGAAATCACGAATTCTGTCATCAGGAGAAGATGGAATGAATTTAAGCTCAAATTTGATGTTAAGTCCCTCACCCCACCCACCAAAGGCTATGATACTAGTTGAAGTGCTATACTTAGTAAAATTAGTGGTTAAAAAAAAATCATGTTGTAGCTTTTGTCTGTTTTCACTGAGTGGCTTTTGATACAAACTTTTTGAAACCATGCTAGATAAAAAAGATAGCCATCCATTTTCTAACTGCTTATCCACTACAGGGTCTCGGGAGAGCCACAGCCTATCCTGGCAGTAATAAAGATTTGACATGAAAATGCAGGGTGTGATGCCTTGATTCTAACCTGCTTGTGAAGCAAAGTTTTCATTTACTTTGTAGAACTTTACAGAGAATTCATGTCTTTGAATGAAAACCCTATCCCCTCCCTTGGAGATCTAGGGGGAACGAAATTACTTTGTCCTTCTGGCCAGGCTGGCATCCTTCAGCTCAGTGGGGTTAGCTAAAGAATGGTCTAATTCGTTGATGTTTTCTGATTGATTATATCCACCTAACCAAGATTCAGGCTTTTATTGCAGTATGAGAGCTCAAGTGATGGAGCCTGACTTAATTTCACGTATTTGTAAGAGTGGAAAATATTTAAGACTTCACCCAGAACACAAATGTGTGTAACTTTTTGTGTTTTAATGCTATAGGAGTATTTTACCATCGTTAAGGGCTAGTTGGTTTGGTGATAGACATACTTTATTATTCCCATAGAGTGCTGAGTCAAATAGTATAGCTGCTTAGTAAAAGAACAAAGAGCAATAGAGTAATACTCTATCTCCTTCAAAGAAATGAGAACAAAATCAGCAACAAAGTCACTCAGCCTTTGAATAATGTTATTAGAGGGAGTGATGATGTACAGTAACTTCCCTGTTGCTGAATTTTCTCTTCCGTGCCCAGAATCTTCTAGATGCACAGGTCTCTTGTTTTTGCAGTTTGCCCATTACCACTGGATTGGAAAATCCACAGAAAGAAGGACTTATAAAGCTGAAAGTCAAGACAAGTTAGTGCTACAATAGAAATTGACTGGACTGTCTTTCTTTGACTGACTCTAGCCAAGTCTGTCTTGTTTTCATTTATAAATGTCATTCATGGCTCTTTTGTATTCTTTTCTTCCTATAAAGTGACTTTCTCAAGAGAACCAGGGTGGCTAGAAGGAGAACTTGAAGGAAAGAGAGGACTTATTCCAGAAAACTACGTTGAGATCCTATAACCCCAAAAAGCCTCAGATATTGCATTATACATGGTATCCATGCTCTTCAGTATTGATCACTTTTTTGAACTCACTTTTGCATATATTCTTATGCTTTCAAACACTACAATGATGTATCTGCCAAATTAATGACCTGAGAACAGCCAAAAAGAAGCATACATTTCTCTTACAGTGCAATAGCAAAGACCCCTATATAGTCTTAAAGAGTAAAAGGCAAACCTGGGAATCTGAAATAAGTTTTAATATTGAAATTGTATATATATATAGTATGTGAAATTTTAAAGTTCTCTTATAAGTGTTTTTAATAATGATTGTTAAGCTTTTAATTGATGCATGGTTTTACTGTGATTGGTCATTTTTTCTTTCTTTGCTCTTATACTTTCATGAAATATAAGTCAAAGTCTTTACAGGTTCACATCTTTGACACTGTCTCAGTGCCCTCTGTATTTCTAATCAGGTGAACTGGGGTTTAAATTTGTTCAAAAATTCCATGTCCTATGTACACCCTGATTTATCACACTCATGACTGATTTACAAAAACTTGTCATTCTGTATTATTCAGGGAATTTAAATGTGATCATATTCCAAAGTATGTCAGTATAAAATTGAAACAATTTGAAATCCTTAAACTATCCACAGGTGGACCTGATGGGAAATCTATAGAGCAAAAATTCTTCAATTTCGACCTAATCAGCATTATATCTACGATCAGTAGGAATTGATTTTGACTTTTGATATTTATGCATATTGTACATCTTTTTGAAAAAAATGTATGTGCAGTTGTTAATAAGATGTCTTATTTCCACTTGACAAATTGTAGCATAAACCTGTATATGTCTACAGTATATATACTTAATTTTAAGGGACTGAAGTTTTGCATTTGGCACTACTCTTAATTTTTAAATTTACACAGTTCACAATTTCACACAATGCTGTTGAAAGACAATTTCATTTTTTTTGAAAGCTATTGTTTTTTCAAAGAAATTAAGATGTTTTTTTCTGAAATCTGTAAAGATCTTGCATTTACAAAATCTATATGTTTTGATCTCTCTTAAGTGTTTAAAATATTTTAAAACTGAAATATTTTGTTAATCAGTGTTAAAGTAATAAAGCAGGTTTTCTTGTTTGCAGATGTCTGGCATCATGTATTTTGTTTAGGGCTGATAATATTGACTAAAAATGTGTCTACAAATATTTGTCGATTTTTCATTTACATTTTCAAACAGGCCTCCAACCTCCAACCTCCAATGAGTTAATGACCTAACCTGAAGAGGGCAGCAATGCTGCTATAGCGTCGTAACTATAGAACAGGTTGAAGAAGAAAAAAAACAATGGTGGAAAGTTCAAAAAGAAGCAAAGTGTGGGAACATTTTCTTAAAACAAAAGATAAAACCGTAACATGCCGAATGTGCAAGGTTGATTTAGCATTCCATGGCAGTAAACGTGCCTGCTTGAGCATCTGAAAAGGAAACATCCTGGTGTGGACGAAAACTACGTAGCATGGAAAGAAGCTAGCCTGAGCTACCCGTTGTTCGAACAGTCAGTTTGTCAGAATGAGCTACTGTACCATTACTACCATACCATTACTCACCTTATCCCATCAAGTTCTACAAGTCATTAGAATAGGTTTCTGAGTAATCAGAAGTATTTAGCAATGGCAAAATACCACAAACCCCCACTCATTTGTCTGTTAGCCTAAAGTTAGCAAAGTTGCAGTTCAACTTAATATGCAATTGCAGCATATTTTCAGTTTGCTAAAGATAAAATTGTTTATCTGAAAAACAAAAAGCTCATCCTAGTTTTTTAACACCAGGAGGTCAAATTCCAGTCTCTCACTTCCTCTCTCCTACTGTACAGTATGTATAAATATTCAGTGGCTGTGTTTTCTTTCTAGCCGCTGTCCCGCAACTGTACCCTTACAACAGCTCCCTGGTTCATTCCTCTTCAATGATAGGGGTTGTGATAGCTTGATCCTCTTCATTTGCTCACCAAGGCCGAAGTATTAAGTAGGCTATCCCTTTGCATTCATGAGATAGTTTCTTAATTAGAATTTGACCAAACATCTGAAATGCAAATTACAGACTTTAAGATTAATCATGAAAACAAGTGCACGTGAACTTGAAAACTGCATGCAATACAATAATCAATATTAACAAAAACCAAACTACAGATGCACTGTATAGTACATTATATGAAGTTAACTTCCTCAGCAAGCCATAGTATATTCAGTTTGATAAAAACATTTCCTGGCGACCATGAAATGAACTTGGAGGCACTGCACTGAAAGAAAATGTCCTCAGGTGATTTTTTTTAATGATGGAACATGTAATAGGTTTATTCCATGCTGAAAAGCAAAGAAAGAAAACACAATGTTTTGGCTGTGGAGCCCTCTTCAGGTGTGACCAACACCCTCACATCCGAAGAATGTACCACAGCAGAAACATTGTGTTTTCTTTCTTCTCTTTTCAGCATGGAATAAACCTATTACTTGTTCCTTTGTAGCCTGCACATACTGACGCAGCTACAGTACCCACCTGAACTACTTTTTATAATGTCTGTGTGCTTCTGAGGTACAAAACCAATTACTGTATGTACAGTCTTTCTGCCTTTAGCTACAGGTACCTTCACTTGTGCTGCGGGTCACACACGACAAATGTTATTGAGATTTACTCAACTACAGTACACATGCCATCTCAGTACACAGATTTTTTTTGTTTTTAAACACAAACTTAAATTGACACGCATTCCCAAATATCTTCAGGCTTAATAAATACAAATGTTTTTTCATTGTATTATTTTAGTTATTCCACTCTCTCCCATGTTAGATTATGGAACAGACTTCCAGATATTAAAATGATCATTTTATTTTGCAGTGTGACAGATCTGTGGGGGGTTTAAATTAGACAAATTTTAAGTTTTATTTTTAGTCTCCATTTTCCAATCCCCAGTTTAAGCCTGACTTCAATATCTTAGCATTTCTCTTAGATCACAATTTGCATTTGTGTCCTATAATTGTGTGTTTAATTATGATGTGGTATTTAGAAGAATGATTAATAGAACATTAGAAGTGTCATAAGTGTCCTTCATGTACTGTATTTTCTATGGTCATAAAATTCATCTTGTTAATTTTTAAAATGGAGAACAAAAGGATACACATTCTAGTAAACATTTTAGCGAGTGAGCATTTTGAAAATCAACAGTGAAATATGAAAAAGAGGACACAAAGTGGAAACTATGTGGATGTGAATTTAAAACTGAGAACAAGAGGCACTTCTTTACTTTAAGTTTTGTGCAACTTACCACTACCCAGCCATGATGTTGATGTCGATATTCCGGTCACTTCAAAGAAGCAGCTGAATGAGATCCCAAGATCAATTGTCTCCTAGTAAACAACCAAGTTAGTTTGGCCAATGACCTCCTTTTGGTTATAATATTATGTTTTTATAGTCTACTGAGATTTGTCTTCATTTGTTTCAGGAATTGAAACAAATTCTTTACCTATCTTTTCTTTTATGTGATGTCTCTGGTTACTCAATGCCTTTGGCATCCTCTGGGATGGAAAGTTATCTACATACCCAGTATGCACAATTTTAAAGCTTTTAGGAGCAAAGTAATTTGTTTTCCTTCTCGAGTTTTACAAAGTTCTACAAACCTTTCACAGATGTTACTGTTTTGAGTGAGGATTTGAATGTTAAAGATTAATATATTCCTGGGACAACATACATTTTGTTTTCAAAATCATAATCATTGCAATTCACATCCACTGGAATGAAGTCATTCATGTGTTGTGTATTTCTTTCTATGTCCACTGTTGTAGAAATTAATATTCCATGTTTACATGTGTTTTATCAATATTCCAATCCTGGTCCCTCTCAACAGCAGAAACTGGTTGATTTGTCTCTCCATGCCTAAACAGAGGTTGGTGCTTTGTTTGCAACCTGACACACATGATTTCTGTCCTTTATTGACATTATTTCTGTAGTGGACCTTTATCTCCACTGGTAGAAGGCTTGGAGTGCTGCTGCTGAGGTCTGTTGTCTGTTGCTGGGCAATTTGGAGAGTGTTGAAGAATTATTTTGTGCGCAGAGAGGTAATGTTAGCTCATTGTTTTGTGTTTATTATGTTATGTTTTAAAATCATTAAGGGAATCATTTGTCCATAAAAAGCACATTTTCAGTTAACTCCCATCCAGTTTTTCTTGTTCTTACTTTTGGAGAAGTAATGGTGTAAGGCATTGAACAAAACTGTACCTTTCACTAGTAACACCAATTGTTCCACAAGCTTTATGCTGACAAAATTATATTTTTACAGACAGTGTTTAATATTTTGGCCATTAAGTACAGATACAGTATCTGATTTGTTCTAATAATTTACAAGGAAAAAATATTTTTTAGTAGGATCCAACATTTATCAAAGACTTTTGTATTGTAGGTTCATAGATTAGTTGCTATGGCATGTAAGGCTTTAAGGATCTTTAGAAATAATATTCCACTATGCACAATATGGTTGCTTAATAATACTGCAGTTCATTAATTAATTTGCAGTTATGAAAATCAGCTTTTAAACATTTCACATACTGTATTAGAGTATCTGCATTGGTTTCTTAATGACCTTTCACTTCTACTAAAAAAACATGCAACATACTGTACAAGAAAATAAGTTAATCTTATGGGTTTTGAAAGTATGCTGTTTCAATTTAGATTTTTATTGCAAGCTCCAATTAAATTCAATTAATGAAACCCTTTGCCAAATTAGCAAGGTTTGTCAACCCTAAAATTGGCAAAGAGCATTCTTGTACCTGTCTCCTTAAATTTCACAGGAAGATTCATTCATACATACCCTTAATCTTGGTCTTTTACAGGGTTGTGAATCCGAAAGAAGAAAGTTAATTTTAGCTCTAATCAAATCCAGCCATGCATGGAAAGCTACAATGTCACAGCATTTGCTTGGAAGAATCAATGTTCTTCATGGAGTCCAGGTCACTCCAGTAGTTAAATACTGCATCATTCCTTAAAATACATTATATTTTATTTTCTAAGTAATTTGCTCATTCTGGAATACAAAGTATTGATGTGCAGTACAATGATGATTTGTTCTGAACAACTATTGAAGTATGGCACACTTCTAGTAATAAGGACAAGTATTTTTCTAAGAGTTTTGTTCTCTGGTGCTTATTTTTGTTTCAAAGATCCTGGACTCCCTCAAACTAAAAAAAAAAAACATTCATATTTCCAGGGAGTCATAAGATAGTCTGACTTGATGTTTTAGGAAGATTGATTAGGGTAGTGCTTATATTTGCATTATGACAGTGCCAAAGGGATTCTGCATCTGGAATGAACCTGTTTCAAGGTGCTTTAACAGTTCCCATGATGTAAAGCAATGCATTTAGTGTAATTTTCTTTCATTTAAATATAGTAATATTACATCTACCTGTTTTTCTTGCTTCCTTATCTGTAGACCACAAATGCTTTTGTAATTGTTGTTTGTTATTCATTGGGTAAGGGGGTGTACAATCTTCAGATTATACTGATGGATGAATTACAGAGCTGCCAAAACAGAAACAAGTAACATGGAGACAGTTATTCCTCATTGTTCTCTGGACAGTGTAGTTCAGTGTAGTTCAAACAAGAACCTGTCACTGCACCCACTGACCTCTTCCATTACCTACAGTATGTGATGCGTGTTCAATAAAATGTCGATGCACCTGCTGCAAGCATTTTTTTGTCATTTTCCTGAAAAAACTTTTTGTACTGCAGGTGATTCAAGATCTTCCTACAAAGTTTCACTATCTTCTATCCAGCTTTTTGAGGTATGGTCATTGCCGGAGTCTGTCAAGTGCAGACTGGATAACATTTTTGGTGAAACCGCACAAGAGAGGGTCTGCCCTCTGTCTCCAGATGACTGCTGTTGACCGACCTGGATTTTTAAATCAGCACCGGACCAATTGCTTTCTTCCAACTGGTCAGGTGATTGAGTGTGGAAGGACATTCTGGGGGAATGTAGTTCAGATCGCAGCTTCCATCTTGTTCGACTTTGTTTGATACAACTATCAACACAGACCATTTTTGAACCTCCCTGTCTAACCATATGACTAGACTATTATTCAGTGTAGAGATTATTTTTAACACTTATGTTATATAATCTATTTTATTGAGGTGGGTTTCAAATTGTGTTATTGTAAATCGTAGTTAATTATTGAAAGGCTCCTTTCAAAGAAAATAATTCACATTTGTTGTCCTGTTCCACTTGGACTTTCCTGTAGTCTCCTGTGTTGATCTGTTTGTGTTCACTCTATCCTAGCTTGCCCGCTGTCTCAGTTATATTTGTATGCATTTGATTAAAAAGAGTTGTTGCTCTGTTTAACTTTCAATTGCCTCAGCAAGTCCTAACTGGGACTCTTTGACAGTCTGAGCAAACTATCACAATATTCTTTGGTACAAATGCATTGCTAAATTCATCCCCAGCCTCAGCACTGCAAGGCAGCAATGCTAATCACTGGGCCACCATGCCATCCTTCTCAGTTCATGTGGAGGCTATTATAGTTATAACAGTATAGTGAGTCAAAGCCTTCTCTACAGCTTAATGCAGGGAAGGTAAGTAAATTCAAAATTCAAAAGAGGTCAGTTGTGGCCTCCCTAGGGTACCATTGAAGAATATTAGTAGATCTTGTTAAGAAAACTCTCACAATGTATTCCTGCTCCCTAGATAGTGCTCAGTACAGCTCTTTTTTCCTCCAATCCAATGCATAAGAGATAAAAATCAGTGCTAAAAACAAACTAAAGCTTTAGAAGAGGCTGAGGAAAGTCATGTGCTCTCACAGGCGTTTTGTCTGAGTAATTAATCTGTTATTTCCTACTAGTCTAGGTGGATGAAATTGTATAATAATTATGAGGTGAGCACTACAAATTACTTTTAATAACTGTGTCTGACTCACCATAAAAATATGTACCTGAAGTGGACCTGGGGCACCATAGGTTTGCAGCAATGTACTGGGATAATCAAATCAGACAGCCGTAATGATATGGGCAAATTATTCAGATTATTAAACTCACAATGCTTTTAATCTTAAGAGTTCTTGAACTGCAATTCATTCTAATATTCATTGTGGAGAATGCATATTTTTCTCTTGCAGACTTTTAAAGGTCATTTGTATTGGAAGGCAAATTTCACATTTAAATGTGCTTTGTGATGTTTTTTATATAACGGTTTTCTTGTGGTACAGTGTGTGAGTCCACATGCCAGCTGCATCTATAGGTTCTGGAAATGCTATCACGTCATCTGTTCATTTAAATCTAGTCAAAACATTTTTTTTTCTAGAGGAGATAGTTCAGAAAACTTTGCATTTTCTCAAAGGTTTTGTACAGTACAATTGTGAAAGCCTACTGTAAATTAAGTGGTGCAAAAAATATGATCTGCTACTTATCTTCATTCTTTTCGTGAAGCCTGTGCTAGACAGAGGAATCTGAACACAGATGGCTTTCTATCTCTTGCCTGGGGAGAAAAAAAAAACAACATCAGTGGGATGGATATAAAGACATGCTTTTAAACCAAGACTATTTATGTTTCATTTTTTGCTTCTTGTTATAGCATGTTTACAAGTTGCACTCAATATGACTCTTGCAGAAAGTAATCAGGAATGCATGTGAAAAGGAAGAAATGGTTATCCTTAGATTTCCTTTCTAAAACTGGGAAGTCAGAAGCCAATATGGAGAAAAACAATAATAGTAATGATTAATCGGAGTAATTGTTATTTTTATGTATGTTTTTGCATTTGTATAATGTATTTCATGTCAAAAGTGTTTTTCATATTTGAGCAGATCTACAGTACTTCATCCACCACTTAAGTACAGCATTCACCTTGGTTACACATGGCCACCTTTCAGCACCAGTAGCCTCACTACACAGCAAATCAGGTGGAAAGGCGAGAATTTACTTCTCCAATTGCATTGGGAAGAGGGGGAGTTAGGTAGGTCTCCGGAAAAAAAGAAATTAAAAAGTACAATGAATTGTCTGCCCAAGCAGAGGACAGCAGGGAGACCAAACATATACAAATTGCCAAAGAGAGCCAACACAATATATTTTTTACTCCCGAAACAGTAAATACTGTAGTAACATACTGTATAGGCAGTACAGTGACATGGTGATACAGTCCCAATATGTGCTGGTCAATTGTCAGGTCTTACTCCCCTCAGCTCTTTACATTGTGTGCACATTTGTGTAATTGTTTAGTGTCCTATTCAGAAATTTGTCCTAAATGTAGATGTCTGTCCTTGTAGGGTGAAACTCTGGCTCAGTGTGAATCTCTGCAGTTGAAGAGGTTACTTAAAATGGATGAACTGATGACTGGGGAAAAAATGCTGCCCATTAGACAAACTCCACTTCCTCTTTGAGCAAGTTCTCCTTTCCTGTTGAGGTCTGGCTACTCATACAGTAGACTCCAAGAATTAGTATGCTGCTTTGTGACTTTAAAAAGCTTTAAGTATTGTCTTTAGTACATTGAATGATGCAGATGCCAAGAGGTAAGCATTTCAACACAAAACCAAAGCACAAAAACAAAGACTTGGATTTTAAATTGGATTAATGAAAAGTGCTACAGAACTGGGGCAGGGAACGATTGGACTTGATAAAACAGCTCTACTGTACAGTACAGTATGTGTCAGAGCATCCATTAAGTTTGGTCTGTCTGGCAGTATAAGACAGTAATAGTTACTGGACAGCTTTGAGAAATTTGAATTTTCAGGGAGTGGGTTGTAGAAAAAAAAGCGCAAAAAAAAGGAATAAACCTGCCAGCCTGGAGTGTGGGATGGTGTGGAGATGGAAATCTAACAAGGTTAATTGTGAACTTCCCTTGGTATGCGTGTTCATTTCATTATTACTGTACGTGTATTTCCTTTTCTGCACGAATAAGATAAAAAGGTTTCAATGAAAGTTGTTTTTTGAATTAGAAATATTTATTTTTTATATTTTTCAATTATGCATATTTTGCTGTTTGTTCTTTTTTTCCTATACCATTTACTGTAACTATATGGACATCCCAGTCACCAGATGGCGCTATTGTTTGTATCTTATCATTTTTACGATGGCAACAGTGACATTGGGGTATATATATTTAGATACATTACTGGTTGTAAAATTAAAAATTAAAAGTAGAGAAATCTATACTGTATTATGATGGAGTTTACCACAGTGAGGATTCTAGCATTGGAAATACAGTAATTGTAGTGGTCTTCCTACACCATTGAAAAGGAATTTAATAGATCTGGAATTATTTATAGATTTAGATTCAGTATCATATCAAATACCTGCTCATTTGCAGGTCATTCTTCAGAGAACAAACCAGCTTTGTAATAACATTCTGAGTCCTGGAATTAAAACACAACTTATTCCTTGGACAGAGAGTATGAAGTCTTGCACAAAAAAAATTAAATCTTGGACAGATGGTTGTCTCTAATATTTTAATTTATGCATCAACGAAGTTACAGCTTGACTTTTTCTTGCATGATTATGAAACTACTAAAAGCATGACTTAAATACTCAATAATTGCTATATTTTTTTTGATGCCATACTTTATTTTATAAATGGCAGTGATTATTACCAAGATTAATTTTATTCCTTTTTTGGAAACAGATCAGATCAGAAAACATTGCAATATGTAAAGGCAGTAATATATCCCAGACTTCACAAATCTGACATTAAAAAAAAAACACATAAGTAAATTATTACTAGACATGTTTATTGGTTAATGGATTTATTGGAATCCCATCATATTTCTGCAAACACGTTATAGACATCTGCTTAAAGATATATCATCTGTATGAGCTATTTTTATGTGGCAGTTTTAATGAAAGACGTATTATGAATAATACTAAACAAATATTGTACAAAGCATTGGACAAAAAAATAGTGCAAAATACAAAAGCAAATTAATAATGAACAAGGAATGCTGTGAAAGGGTTTTGTTTTGGAGATATGACTTAGTTGCTCTTCCCATAATCTAATACAAAAAAGAATGAGACACAGCTTTGAGCACTGGTTCATAGTTTAAATGAAGACTGTGAGACTTCATGGCTTAATAGAACCTGCAATGATATACATATTTTTTAGATTATTCTTCAATGTGCACTTTTGAACAGAGACGTCATGTATTTTTGATTCTCACGTTACATATTTTTCAACAACAGCCAAAAAAGGCCATCTAGACCTTTTCCCTAAGAAATGGCTAATAATATAGTATTCTAGATGTTAAACATGAATGTCAGAATATAGAGGTATAATATCCCAGTGGAGCTCAACCTCTGCTCAGAATGTTTTTCTTTACTGGTTGAGCCAGACAGGATCCCACACAACCTTTTTTTAAAACTTATATTCTACTTAATCGTTTTTACTGATCTTGTGTTTCACAAAAACTGGACACTCTGGCCCAAATCAACAATTACCAGCAAAAACACAAAAAGTCTCTGTAAAAGGCGAAGTAAAACTACCTCTCAAGACGGGTCCATCCTGGTCCTGGAAGGCCCTAATCTGGGCCCTAATGTTTTACACTATGTTGCCCTAAACCATCTACTTCTGATGTTTGGGTACACTGAAACCTACTGGTCATTTAAGCAAGTAATTTGTTAAGGTATCACTAGTCCTTAAAGGGCTCAAGGGAATTCAGATTTTTGTTTTACATCATTAGTTAATTGCTTTTAACAAAGTACTTGATTGATAGATTTAAATGAAGTTGTTTCTTGTCTTCATAAACGTATGATTGTACCGCTAACTCGAAACCCTGCTGGGACTGGGACCCTGTCTTAAGAGTTCACATCACAAGAAATTCATCATGATCATGATGCAGACAACAATCTATGAAAACAATGCTATGGCCTTGTCGGATTTTGCATACAGAACACACTGTGTGTGCCAGACCAGCCATTTATACAAACCAGGCAAATACCTGAATAGGTATATAAAAGCTACTATATTTATACTGATTTTTTTATTCTTCTCTGTGAAATCTTTGCTTCTGTAAATAGTATTGTAAGATACCAATCAATACAAAAGAGCTTTTCACTAGAGTCCTCCCTTGGCTTTCTAGGCTTATATACATTTATTTTTTGTTTTGTTTTTTAATTTTTAAACATGGCTTAAAAGTCATTTGTGACTTGTGCTAGACACTTTTTAATTATTTTATAAAAGAACTACAGTTCAAACTGTAAGAACTAGAGATAAAGGCCAGTGCATAGATCCACGGTTCAAAATCAGCAAAGATTAAGGATTCAAACCCAAACACCCACACTCTGTAGAACGTGATCCACATTGATGTTTCAATTTAGATCCTCCTGCCGTGTACTTGAGAAAAAGCCTCAAAAGTTTAGGACCTGAAAACCCACTGATTACAAAATAAAGCGAACAGCAAGTGAAAAAAAATAATCAAAGGCAGAAAGTTTAATAAAATGTCTACATTCCAATTCAAAGGTTTAACAATATGCATAGCACTGTCAGTTCAGCCAGACCACAACACTGTTGGGAGCAACAACTTTGTAGAGTGTTCAGAATGATCAATAGCGAATTCTGTTTCTAAAATTAAACATTTGAACCTTCTGTTTACTCACGAAATGCCTTTGCTATGTTAAATCTTATTGTGTAAGATGAACTAGAACAGTCTTGTTGACTAAAAACAACTTCACGCAAAAAGTATGACTGCATGTAAAAGGTTGTTGCTTCCATTCTCATCACATTTGAAGTAAATCAGAATTCGAAAGCAGACATTAAAACACCTCTTTGCTGCTAGTGTTATGTGTAACCAAAACCTGATTAATAGGTCTGGCATCCCAATAATTTCAATGCAAAGGAAATCAGCTTCAAGAAAGAAATGAATCTTTAAACTAAAGCAGGTTTAGTATTTGCTGCACATGTATTATATTATTTCCACGTAGTAAGAATTGAAAAGCTGCATTTCAGTTCCTTGCCAATTTTATACTGGCTTAAATTAAATATTACACAAAGCAAGATTTTTTTAAGTTAACCTTTTTTTTAAGCAAGGGATTTAGTCTAACATTCAGGTAGTTCGGATCTCTCACAATAGTTTGTACATTCACGTTTTTATTTTTTCCTTAAACTCTCCCATTGGCTTGTATTTGCCATGTTACCAACCAAATCTAACAACAGGCCAGCGGATGTAATTAGTGGGAGCCACATGAACTACAGGTATCCAAACAACACACAAAGTTAAAATAGAAATGCTTGATAATAACCAATAAAGTGATTCACTGTGGTTATTTACAACAGATACTGTAAAATGGTAAATTGGAGAAGATAAAAAGGCACAACTTTCCCTTCTTAAATACACTGTAAACATCTCTTCAAATAAGCATGCATAAACATTTCACTTTACAAAAAATCTTTTAGACAAAGTACTTAAATATTTTTTTTTCCAGCAAAATAGAATTCTTTCAAAAATACTTCCCCATTCGTCCTATTAACCATTTAACATTTAGTCTCATTAAAAAAAAAAATCCTTACAGCTTATTTCAGGTCCTTCACAATTTATACACATAGCAATATACAGAACATCAACAAAAAATGCAAAAATAATTTGTAAAAGCCTGCAAAAGTGATTTATTTTTTTTCCTTGTTTAAACTTTTGTTTTACGTTTGTGGTGTGCTGTAACATGTTATCTACCCCTAATGGGGTCAATGTAAGAACCAAACATGAAGCACCTCATTGTTAGGTCATGTTCAACAGCAACTACCGTAGGTAAAGAAGAACTTAATATTCCACACCATTTTTTTCAAAAGAAGTGTACAATAAAGGAATACTAATGCCCCAATTATAACATTTACTCCTCTGTGCAAATCTAAGGTAGGCAATAGGAAGTACATAATCCTATAATTTAAAAAATCTGCCCTGAAGAAAAACAGGATAAGCTTCTCTTTGCCCTTCCGTGCCATAACACCCACTCTCCTGCTTTGTTATCAAACAAAACTGGCCATTGTTTGAAACTCTTCCATACTAACCAGTACTTGCTATTAGAGGCTGGTAGTCTTGCATTCATAAGACATTAAATGGTCCATGTTACTGGTTTTTACAGCTGAAACAGTGGAAAAGTGAGAACAAAGAAGATACAGACAACAAAATGTGAGAGACTAGATTTTTTGTCAGTTTCATTTTCACAATATTGATCTAAACTTTGGAAACCATTCAATTGATGGGATTTACTGGTGTCTGTCAGATATTATTTTTACTTTTTTTAACGCCTCAGATTTGTATGTTTTGACTTGATTTGAAGCTTCCAGTAAAAATGTTTAAATTTGGCAGGAAATTATGAATTTCCAGATTTTCTCATAAGATTATTTGTGGTACGTGAGCAACTATTAAGTACTATAGAGTTCTGATTTATGGTAACAAAATAAGCACCAAGTTATAAAACATTATTAATCAGAAGTGGTTTTATAAAACCCATTATAACTCACTTATACTGTAGAAATGTTACAATGATTGTTGCTGGAACCTTGAAAAAAAGTCAAATTGTTCTATTTTTCATAGAGAGCTGGTTTTAATTTGGGAATTACTGGTTTTAAAAAAGGAGCAACAATAGTAATATATAAGGTATTTATGATTAAGCTTATGTACAATACACTCACACATATGTAAAAACCCATGAAATACTTGGCTGAATTTCATATTGCAAGTGGAGTTAAATTGCATGTTTTAGTTTATGAGGGTTCAGGATTGAAAATCTCTTTTGCTCGTCTTCTTTGTGTGGTATTTGTTCTGTCACACTATTCATACCTGTATGTTTTAAGCCTCATAATGTGACACTGTACAAAGCAGAAGACTAAATGCAACTGGAAAATATAAAAAAGACTTCCTGCAAATTCTATTAACTAGATTGTCGTTCAGTTAATATATATATATATTATTTTAAAGTATGTTACTTGTGTTTTGCATATCAATAAAAGCTTTTTGTTTTTTAAAATGTTAATTTCATGCGCATCTGTGTATTACATACATCTTAAGGATTTTGTTTGACTTGTATAATAAAACTCATATAATCTATCTTTAAGTTAACCATTGAACATAAACTTCTATAGCCCTTTGGAATACTCTCAAATATACTTGCTAACACCTAATAGGAGCCTTGTTTAATTTTTACCAACACACAAATACTATCTTCAGACTGAAGTCATTTTGTGCAATGCAGCAAGTCCCATTTACTGCAAAGCAAAAAGTCCTACTTTTTAGAATAACAACAGTAATCATAGAAAAGCCACAGTTACTAATTTGAATATTTAGGGAGAGGTAAGGGATGTGTGTAGTTTTGTGTCTGTTTTGAAAAGAAAAAAAAAACTATGTATGGCTTCAAATCCATTTAAAAAATTGTCGAAGTCTTTGGGGGGGGGGGGGTTCTGTCACGTGTGAAGTTCTTTTCAGTGCATCATCATCTAAGAAACTCTTCTATGCTCATCTTTCTCAACGGTTTCCTTAGCTGAAGAGCTTCTGGATGAGAGTGTGAGAAAACATCTCCCATCCTTTGTGGGCGTGGAATAATGCAGGCAACTTTAAGGCAAAGTCCATTCTTGAAGAGGCTCTGTTTTGTCACTTTCTGTGAAAGTAGAGAGTCTGGGTCAAGCCTGATTCCACCTTTGGTATCTGGTCACTGATTATTTCCACCAGCATTTCTGGGAACTCCACTTTCAAGGCCTGGGACTCACGGAAGGTGTAGAAGCAGAAGTCTAGCAGACTGCTCACCAACTGGAAAATAAAAGGAAACCAAGAGATCTATTAACAGTGGCAGAATTTATTCATATCCCTTCTGGATAGCTTCTAAATCTCAGGTGGTGCATTTTAAAAAAAAACCTTACTGGGTTTAGAAAGAGAAAGTCTTGTTTAACTTGCTAGAATTGGTCTAACAGGCAACAAGGCCAGTAGATAAAACCAACTCATAAAAACACTATAAAAGGTTGATTCTCAAACCACAGGAATCCAAGGTAATGTCTATGGATGAAACAAGAACTGGTTAACAGGAAACATTGCATCATCTGGAGGAGAACATCGAGTGAACATCGCCTATATATCGGTAATATAGATGAATGCAATGGTGTGCCACAGGGATCTCATTTGGACCTACTGCTCTTCCTGATCTACATCAACCATACAGATTCTTATATTTAGAAAACTTGCTAAATTTGCTAACGATACAAAAAAGGAGAGTGGCAAATACAAAAACCACAAAGGCATAACAAAAAGACATAGACAAAACAATGGAGTGGGCACACTTGTAGGACCATACAATATACAGTACATATCACATGTGTTCAGGGGACTGTTTGCAGGATGCAGCTGGGAATTCACTTACTCTACAACACAGAACAGGAAATGTTCTTCTTTTCACAGAGTTGTTGGTAGTAGTAACAATGTATGAAGTACGGAACAGTCCATAAATATGCACTCAGCATTTAATTTCAAAATATATGTCTATCACATATTAACATTTAAATAAACATGGGGCATGCTAAAAAAGTTAATGAATAGAAATATAAATACAATGAAAGCTACAGTATAAGGGCAAACTAGTATTACAACATGGTATTAAACTGTCTTTACTTTGTCTTGTGAAACCTATTAGGATTTAGTTCTGAAAGAATCTTCACTTCTTAACTCTTTCCAATTACTTTAATAGTGAAGCTTATAATACAGTTCAAGATATAGGTTAACAGACTAAATATTGCTTTTTAATGTCCACTTTGGCTTAAATCAACTGAATAAATTAAAGTCCAAATATTACTGTCAGGTTCTAGTGTCCTGATACCACAACTGTGAATAACACACTCTCCAATAAGTAGGTCAACAAGAATAATAATGAAAAAGAAATCATTCTTGCAAACTGCAAATTTCAGCAAAACTTTCAAACTCCTCATAAAACTGTTGATGCATTTAAAACTCTATTATCTTTTGCACAGCATTCAGTTACATCTTTTTAATTTCCATTTGCATCTTTTAGGCCTATATTTGCACAAGTATTCATAAATACAAACATTTTTTAGTTCTAGTCAGTTGTAATAATAATATAATAATAAACTTTATTTTATATAGCGTCTTTAAAGGTGGCTTCTCAAAGCGCTTGTGTATAGTATTTTGTAATTAGCTAGAAGAATACCCTTACATGATTATCAAGCCATGACAGCAGGCATACTTACATTAAGCCCTTCTCTGTTTCATCTTTGAATCAACATTAGCCTACTGACCAATTTATCCATTCTTTTTGGAAAACAATTTTCTAACTGCTTCTTCCAATTCAAGATCGGGGGGGAGCAGGAGTATATCTAGGCTAGCAACGGCACAAGGCAGGGTACTGTATATCCTGGATGCGACACCCATCCAAACACACAGACACACACGAACAAACCTACAGTAGGGCCTATTTCTCAGAAGCCATTTAACCTTCCACTATGCTCTTGGACTGTGTGAGTGGACAAACAACATCCCAGATCTGGAATTGAATCCAGGGCCTCAGCAGTGTGTGGCAGCAATGCTAACCACTGCACCACCGTGCTGGCCCCCTATTTGCTTTTATGTCTTAATATTTTAATCAGATTTACCACCTATGTACATCGTTGACCTATTTCCCTAAATATATAACTTGATTTTATTATATTCTTTGTTGTTGTTGATTGATTAAACACCTCAAACTTTGTTTAATGTTATGAGTAGAACTGTGCTCTGCCTCTGCCAGGATTCGATCACAGTCACTCGTGGACATGGAGCAGACAGTGCCACTCTCTAATCAAGAGCCAATCTGCTACACCCCAAGAGTGGGGTTTCTTCCCTGGAAGAATTCTACACTATTTTTCAAGAGGGCGACACCCCTTCTGTAAAATGCCCAGTTTAGCTTTGTTACACTTATAGTACAAGACCTTCCAGGCACATTTCTAATTATATGACCGTCTGTCCCAGAGTTCTGAGGGCTTATGCTGATCAGCTGAGCGCTCAGAACTGTTCAACCTGAGCCTGCGCTTGGAGAGAGTCCCTGTGCCCTGGAAGACATCATGCCTGGTCCCGGTACCAATGAAAGGGCTCCCGTCTTTCCTCAATGACTACAGACCAGTTGCACTGACTTCTCATGTCATGAAGACACTGGAGAGGCTGGTCTTATCCCACCTGAGACCCCTGGTTAGTTCATCACTGGACACCCTACAGTTCGCCTACCAGCCCAGTGGTGGTGTAGAGGATGCGATCATCTACATGCTGCAAAGGGCCTACTCACACCTGGACAAGGCTGGCAACACTGTAAGGATTATGTTTTTTGACTTCTCCAGTGCCTTCAATACTATCCAGCCATTACTTCTAAGGAGGAAATTGGAGGAGATGCAAGTCGGTGCCTCCATGATCTCATGGATCACTGACTATCTGACAGGCAGACCATAGTCTGTTAGAGGTAGTAAGTAACACAGGGGCTCCTCAGGGGACAGTTATTTTTCCATTCCTCTTCACCCTCTATACTTCAGACTTTAAATACAACTCAAAGTCGTGCCATCTGCAGAAGTTCTCAGATGACTCTGCAATTGTGGGATGTATCAAGGGTGGGCGGGAGGAGGAGTACAGGGGACTGGTCAGCAGCTTTGTGGAGTGGTGTGGGGAGAACAGTAAACTGATATATCTGTTCTTTTTCTTTTTCCCATTTACAACTGTTTTGTGCAATATATGCCAGGGACCTATGCAATACATTTATATTTATATTGTGCAATACGACTTTTCTCTGTACTGTTCTGTTCTGGTTTGTTCTCTGCGTGTTCTTTACTGTGAGTAACTCTTCTTAGTGCACTTCTCACTGTACTGATTGTATTGTATGTATTGTATTATTATTATTGTATAATTCGTAACACTGTTGCTGTGTTGTCCGTGTTAAGCTGCTGTTGCACTGCAATTTGCCTCATGGGATCTATAAAGTATCTATCTTGATGTCCTTTTATTTCAGGGACTACCTGTTAATTACATTGTGCACGGATGTAGCCCATGTAATTCTGTGAATGCTTTTTTACTTGGATGGTACACAGGCAGACAAAAGGAAATGTGATTTCAGCCCCTACTGCACTACATACAGTATCCCTTATTAGTACAGTTTGTGCTGGAGGTCAAATACTTTAACTTTGACTCTGAATTTGAATTTATTAATCTGCAATCTTCTAAACTTATCAACCCTCCTACCAATAATAAAATTGGATTAGATATTTCTATTCAGGACCTAAGATAACTGCAGGAAAAAATCAAGACATGAATCGATCCATTTTCAGTGCTTCATCCAATTCAGGGTCGCAAAAGGAGATGATGCCTCTTCTAGAAAACAACGGGCGCAAGAAAGAGTACACCCTGGACGGGATGCCAGTGCATCGCAGGGCAGACACAGAAACAAACATGCCCTCACTCCCCTCAGAGCCAGATTTCCCAGAAGACAATTAACCTAATGGTATGTCTTTGGATTGTGGGAGGAAACATATGTGAACACGGGGAGAACATACAAGTTCCATGTACAGTAGACAGCACCACAGGTGTTGTGGACAGGGACCCAATGCTGTGATTCAGCAATGCTAACCACTGCACTATTGTGCTACCCAAAATATATACATGCCAATTATTATTCCACATTAAAAATATCATACATGACCTATCTAAATCAAAGGAACCAACTTAAGTTATGCAAAACAGAAACAGTTTTGATCTGAAGGGGAACATGTTTAATTCAATACTTGCTGAATATTCACCACTGCAAAAAAAAGACGTTCTTGAATCCACGCTTAGTTCTTTCCCTAAGCTAGTTTCAGCTTAAGCACTGGTGACAGACTGAAAAACTCTGACCCTGTCTCCCAAATCTGAACAGCAAGCAGCAACACTTTAAGATTTTTACCGGGGTTTCAGGCAGTGAGGTGTGGGAATGTACAACATGACAAATCCTGGAGTAGCACAATTTCTGTCTTTCTTTGCTTCTGTTGTAATCATATAACATGTAAAAAATCTTGTCAATATACCAAATAATAATTTCTCCACCTCAGTTAAAAGAACTACCAGGAGTACATACTGTAGCTTCCCTTGCATTTCACACCCCTATAAAAGCCATAGCTATTGTGCGTCACAACTTTTTGTAACTCTGTCAAGCATTGGCATTCCTGCTTTATGTATCTAGCATTCAACAGCCCTTTGACAGCTGGAGTACACCAGACTCAGAATCTTCTTAATTGTCCACATAGAGTGGAAATGTTCCCTTGGCCTCACTGAGACAACAATAAAAATAGTGTGAAGCACAGTACAGAAAACATCCAATGAATTTTAAAAGATGTGAATAATCAATGTAATACTGTATAAATAACAATACAATGCAATGCAATACAGTACAAAAAACATTAAATTCAAGTGTGGCATACACATGAATTTACATACACATATACTGTATATATGCTGGTACATTATGTTCTGCTATACATTTTTCTGGGTTATACATTCTACCAACTGGAACCTTTCCTTGTTAATTTGTCTTGATCACACACCTGAATTATGCAATTTACTCATTTACCTAAGGCAAGAAAATCGTGTCTACTAGCAACTATTTGTGGTAAGCACACCCTCTTGGCTGGCTTCTCCCTGCTCCCCCTCTGAGCACATCAGCCACTAAGAAACCACATAATGATTTTGGGAATCTATATTGTTATTTCCCAACCATAACACATCGATCAAAGTACTGTAAATATGTATACAAGCCTATGCAGCTTGACATGGGAGTGCCAATGGTAGGGATACACCTCTTATGTGTAGGGCCTTTTGTTGACTTTTTCTGTATCCAATAAAATACACATACTGTATAATATCGAGTTGAATTGTGTTTTGTGCAACAATTGATGCAAAAATCAACTCCATATTTTTGTTTAATATTTAAAATTTTGTTGACAAGACAGCAAAATTGGAAAAGTATTCTATTAAAAGTCAGACCTCCTGGAAAAAACTAAGGTTGCTGCTGAAAGAGGTGTTAGTGGGGCGTTAGTGGGGCGCTCACCCTGCAGTCCATGTGGGTCCTAATGCCCCAATATATTGACGGTGACACTATACAGTACTCTTCGGATGAGACGTAAAACCGAGGTCCTGACTCTCTGTTGTCATTGAAAATCCCAGGGTGTTTCTCGAAAAGAGTAGGGGTGTAACCCCGGTGTTCTGGCCAAATTTCCCATTGGCCCTTACCAATCATGGCCTCCTAAAAATCCCCCTCTATGAATTGGCTACATTACTCGGCTCTCCTCCCCACTAATATCTGATGTGTGGTGAGCGTTCTGGCGCACTATGGCTGCTGTCGCATCATCCAGGTGGGGCTGCACATTGGTGGTGGTGGAGGGGAGTCCCCATTACCTGTAAAGCGCTTTGAGTGGAGTGTCCAGAAAAGCACTATATAAGTGTAATAAGTAATAAGTGTATATTATTATTATTATTATTATTATTATTATTATTATTATTATTATTACAGCACTGGTACCACTGACCAATAGAAACTGCTGAATTGTCACCTGGAATTTCTTCCATTTGTTAGAGTGGACGACAGCTTCTATTTGGTCTAATAGAAAACAATTCCTACTGCATAGCTAAGTTAGTGCACATAACTGCATTCTCTGGAATGAAACCAAACTATGGTCAGTAACTGAAGAGCATTTAGATCCTAATTGGGGGATGAGGTTTGGATATATCGGCAATATATTAATTGGATCTTATACAGTGCTATTTAGAAGCAGATGATGTCTTACATAATGTTACTGATAAATATCATAATATTATCAGCTTTATATGAGAGGGGGGATGATACAGGAGAATTCTGTTCATGCAGTATAGAAATAACTGAGCAATACTTTGATAAATAATTATCAAAATAGGACTTATGCACATTTTGCCACTATGGTTGATGGAACATACCCACAGAATGCTACTAATTAAAATCACCTAGAAATGCTGCTTTGACACTTCTTTGGTGATTGAGTTAACTTGTCATGCAAACTGTTTTTTTTATTGGTAGTGAAAAATGTTAACACCAACTTTCAAGAAGTTCAATCAATTAAGTATAACATTTGGAAAAGCATTGTTTTAGTACAAATTAATTTGTATGGAAATTCAATTATTTTTTTATTATTTATGCTATACATCTAGTTAAACAAAATGTGAATTGCTGTGGTTATTTTGGAATTATGTCATACTGTACATACATAAACACACTTTATCCTTATGTCACACACAAATGATGGCACAGAATACTGACTCCTTTTTATTTAGGCTACTTTGCACTTAATATAGCTGGGCTTTAGTACTACTGTATTTACTGATTCCCCAATCCTGAATCACACCAACAAAATAACATGCAGACTAATAATACATTTATCACTCTGTCTTCACCGTCAAGGTCTCTGTCAAATGAATAATGTGCTTCTATAGACTGAAGCCTTGGGAGAGGGGTTGTAGGCAGGCAACAATCTTGACCAACTCAAATAAATATTTCCAATCAGAGCCATAGTGAGCTCTTGCAAGGAACGCCATTTCAGGGCCTTCCTGTGTAAGCTAACTTGAACTGACCTTCAATCATAACTGAAGAAAAAAGAAACTGAATACAGATTCCTTAAGCTTGCAGACAAAAGCAAACAGAATTCAAAATAATCACCAAACACACAAAATACTGTATTTGTATCCATTTATATTATACTACTGATTTTTTCAGAGATTCCATATAGCCAATGGTGTACAGTAAATAAAAGGTTGGCAAAAACATCTTCTCCTGGAAAATAAATGAAAAGTGTTTGTCCAAAGCCTTAAATATGCCTGTATACTAGCAGTATGTACTTCCTACTGAGTTTAATAATGTGTCTAATGAGGGAAATAAAATTCATAATCAAATCCACATTAGACTTCCAGAACCTTCAGTTTCTCATTGCACCAAAGCATGTAGAGTACCCAGACAAATTACAGATTATGGCCACTATTTAGCATAAAATGTCAAAGCTGCAAAAGAGATTTTTTGTTGCATATTTTGTGACCACAGGCATAATGAAAACTGAAAACAGTCTCATCTGAATCACTATTTTCAGCTTTGGTGACACCACTAAAGTATTTAAGGCAATTAAAGCACCTTGTAATTTGTGCAATATTCAGTGTTTTGCTGTTTGTACAGTTTAGAGAAAAAACAAAATAATTTAAAATAAAAGCACCATGACATCTGAATACACTATCTAGCACAATTGCCTTTGTTAGTGTAAAATTGAAAAACAAAAGTAATGCGTTTCTGACATTTTTTAATCTAATTATTGTTCAAATAACTAGGAAAAAATAAATATTAGAAAACCAAGAGATCTTCATCCCTCACAGAGCCTGTAACTAATTTGTACAATTATTATACAAATGGAATTGCTATAAATCTACTCATCTACTTTTGAACACCTTTTAGTGATCAGGTAATATTACACCAATAATCTAAAATCCCTTATTACTTACATCATGCATGGCATCTAGTAGTTTGGTCAGCTGGAAAAACCTTTGCCATGTTTGTCCAGAATTGCTGGTGGACTTTCCTACTGATCGGCGAAGTTCTTTTATGTAGTTCAACCTCATTTCCTCAAAGGCTGCTTGGTTTTTCAGACCGTCTTTGGGAACTGTGGATTTAAGAAAACAAGTTGATCAAACAAACTCCATTCTTCAGATTAACCTACTGTACTGTAGTTATTTACTTCAATATGAAAATGTCAATGCAGTAGTAAGATACTGTAACTATGTTTGGATTGTGTGGGAGCCAATATTCTTCTCTTAAATAATAAAACTGCATAAACCGGCCAAAAACCAAATAACAATTTAATACAGCCTTCTTCTACTGAAATATGCTATGAATTGTAAACTGAATTATTATGTAGAAAAATAAGACTAAAGGTTAGAACTATTCAATTTAAAAGGATTATTTACTAACAGAATGAAATCGAGACCTCCTTTTACAGTAAAAAAAGTCAAGATATTTTTACAATTAAATGACATTGCTGCACAAAAGAGCAATCCCATCCCAAAAACATAAAAAAATATAATTACTACTCTGTTGCAACTTGGCTGTGAACTCAAGTCAGCAGCACTGAAATGACAGGCTAAATACTAGGACTTGGAGAGACTTGGTGAGGACAGTTATGGCCGACTTTGGGGGGGGGGGGTGATTCCCGGTCTACGATCTTGAGGTTTCTGGCTTTTTAGGATTTTCAGGGTACAGTATTTGCTAACACATCTCATGGAACTGCACTAATTGCTGCACTGCCATAGGTTGTCAAGAGTACCTTTCCACTGGTGTTTCTGAGATTAAATAGGGAAGAGTAAACTGGGTGATTAACTGAATGATTGGGTGCCTGACTGATAAGGGTATGGGCGTGCTGAAAGGCCCGTGAATGTTCTGAGAACCCTGGGACAAATGTGATCACCTGGGAGGAATGTTGCCATTTCCCGGGGAAACTGTGAGCTGTGAGCTGCCGTCAGCCTGGGCATGACATACTGTTACGACCCCAGGTGTCTAGGGGTAAAGGGGTGTAGCATTTAGGATAATTTTTGGAAGCAGGTGGGTGCTGGTGAGGGACTTAGGAAGCGCGACAACAAGGTTTGGTGGAAAAAGTGATTTATTTTAAGGTGAATAAGTGACTGATATGTAATGAGACACAGTAACACACGGGGGGAGGGAACTAGAGTGGCACCAAAGAAAAGAAAACAACAAATAAAATGGAGCTGGCTAAGAAAGTGAGGGAAGCTGACCTAACTACAAAAGAAAACCCGAATCACACGTTCTTCTGCGTCTTCAAAAGCCCTAGTTAACCTTCACTGACTACCCAAAACCAGACAAGACAAACGGCACTCACCTGTACTAACTAGTGTTACTAATACAAAAATCAACTACATGTGCAGAATGTACCAGACAACCTAAACTAACCCTATACACAAAAGTTCACACAAATACACGAGTGAACTAAGAACACAAATTAAAGAAAATGAGAGTAGATAACAGGAACAGGGTACAAAAGAACACAGAGGTTTGCCTTACCTTGGGCAAGGTAATGGCAAAATAAACAATAAACACAAACAAACAAACGAAGGTACGAGGTAAGAACAAACCAACAAAGGCTGAAGCTATACGAAAACACACACAAATGAAGTCGAAGCACAAACCAAAAGCAAAAAAAAATTAAAGCCAAGCCGAGCAGGATTGAAGTCAAAGGAAAAGCCCCTTCATTCTGAAAACCTCCAACTTATATACTAAATAAGCTGCACTCTGATTGGCTAAGAAGCTGACTGATGATGACCAACGGGGGAGGGAAAACAATTAAGGTCAGGAAGTGTGGAACACAGCAACAAAACACACATGGACCACACACTGGGACATAACACATACCCTCAATACAAAATGGAGTTTATAACAAAAGTTAAGGAGGAAGGTTAGATCCTAATGTTGGACACTTCCACTCAAGTCTTGCATCCAGGACTTCCCTGCATGTACGTCTCTCACACCCCTCCCGCCACCCCATGTACACTCTTGCAGCAGCTCACTAGCTCACTGCTTATCATCTAGGCAAATCACGCCAAATACTCTGCACATACTGTATATCCCATTATTGCATTCATTAGGGTCTAACCAAACTAATAAAATTATGGATCTGAACCATAATTGAGCTGACATTGTTTCAGGAGATATTTTGCCATCTGACAAAGCTCTTGTTTTGTTTCCTCATTCTGATACTATTTGCATCTTATTTAACTTCTTTCACCCTTACAAGTGTTCAGTTAGAACATCAAATTAGATGTTAAACCAAAGTCCAGACAACTTGTGATCCAGTGAAAATTCTATAGCACTTTGTTTAAGAGGAGTGTTGTTAAACATGGTGTTCTGGCTAAAACCATTCTTGGGCTTTCTGGTCCCCCTAAACATTTCTTAATCACTTCTCTGCCTGATTCGTTGTGTAGTGGGGCTGCCTGCGCTTGGTGGGTGTTCCACTTCAGTAGTGTATGAAAAGCTTTTCCTTTTACATGCAAAACACTTCAAAGTCCTTTAGAGTGAAAACCACTAGGCAAATGCAGCACTTATGATTCCTTCCATTTTCATTAGCTGCTTAATCCTTCAGAGGGCGGTTGTGAGCTGAAGCTCAGCCTGAGAGACATGTACCAGACTGCAAAGCGGGGCTACATCCCATACGGTATCCCATTCATTGTATGGCACACACACACATGCATTCAGTGGCAATTTAGAGATGCCAATTAATCTGGAAGGCAACTGGAGCACCCAGGGGAAACCTGCAAGTGCTTGGGGAAGAGCACACAAAATCCACAAAAAGGGTGTCCCTAGCAGGAATCAAACCCAGGTGCTTAGACCTGGGGGGAATCTACTGTGCCCCCAAGGAATTCCTAACATTTAAAACAATTACATCAACACTTGACATCTACACCCTAAGTATATAGATGGCAAAATTTTAACTTTCAATCTTGTTCTCAAGGAACCATAAGATGATTATTCATCATTTATTTTGTAAAGATGTTCTTCTGTGTTAAGTGAACTTGTGGCTCTATCTTGACTTTTATTCTGTGTAAATCTACATGCATGTGCCAACAAGCACTATACTGTAAGTCATTAGACAGTGGCTGGCACAGGAAGTGAACCAAATAGAAAGAGAACCAAATAACGTGTTGTTCTTTAACAAATATGGCTCCAGGTACTGAAGGATATTGTCTTTAAAAAGTGTTACCCTTTTAAACTTGACTTGTAATTCATTTAGCCTCAGTTACCATTATCAATTTCTGAAAATGATACTTTCCTTATTACAGATTTTTGGCAGAAGACGGCTTTAAGAAGTGGCTATTATTTTCTTTCTCTCTTCCTTTTCCTCTCAAAAGAATGTTTTTACACATGTACTGTAGGCATCGTACAGTATATGACATTTATAAAAGCTTTGTTGGATGTTAAAGGAAATTTAACATTTATCAAAGCAAGACAGAAAGAGGAGGAGACAGATTTTCCATTCACATCACATTTCAAACATTAGTAAACCAAAGCTTTTTGGCCCACTTTAAAATGCTCAAAATACCTGACTCAAAAACACATTTTAAATGTAATTTGAGTGGAAGATAAAAGAGGAAAATATAGGATAAACTGAGGGAAGATAAGGTAGTAGAGTACAAACACTTTGAGAAGTTAAAATGTACTGTACTAATTTCAACCATTCCCTTTATTGAAAGTATTACAACAAGCCTCACACTGGCAGTAATGGATTGGACCGTATGAAAAGTGCAAATGTGTTCAAAGGTTTATAAAGGAAAAACAGTTCAATGTTGTCAACTACTCCCTTTTAGTAGACAAGCTTTTATCGTGGAATGGTAATCATTTGCCATAACTCATACAATATGACACACTATAAGACAGCAAAAAATTCCTCTCTAGAGATTACTGTATGGAAAAAGAAGACTTTATGATACGCAACACAAACAAACGCACTAATGAGACAAAGTGGAATAATGAAAAATATAGTAAAGACAACCCAAAATGTCTGTACTGAAAACTATCACCCCAGAGACCAGCAAACGCACAGGTATGTCCACTGATGTGTCTAAAACTGAAATAGCCAATGCCTTAAAATATCACTGTAAGTGAGCAGCAAATCAAGAACAGACTGCAAAAAGAGAGCAGTTTGTCTTCCTGCAAGAGGAAACATGCTGTGGGATGAATAGCACAGGATTCCTCCAGCTGCACATTAAAAAGGTGGCAGATTGGTATTTCTTTGAGGTCTGCAGCAGTCATAAAGGCCAAGGGTGACATACACAATAATAAGTCTTCTGTCCCTGTACTATTGCTATTATAGTTTATGTTATTAATACAGAGGTGGGGTTATTTTTCATATTTGGAGCATGGTAAAATACTATACTGTAGGAAGCTTTGATTTGGAAGGGAATAAGTAATACAAAAAGATAACAATCACTTCTCTTTGCTGTAGTATATTTCCACTAATGTTAAGGTAATGGTCTTTCTCTGTCTGTCACACTAATTCATAACAGCTGAAAGACCTTCACATTAATGAGGGTGAAGTCTTCCTTATGCCACACTCCAGTACTTCCAGATAGAAAGGTCTAAGTCAATTGCTTAATTTTATGGGTTACATTGTGCAGGCCAAAGCCTGATGATAATACTGGTGACTCTAAAATATTAAAGAAAAGGTAGCCTCTCAGCTAACTTACCCTTCTTGAATCAACAAATGAGTCTGTTTAAAAACCTGTAATCTGCTGCTTCACTGCCCAAATTCAGTCTCGCCTCTTCTAATCCCCTGCCTACTAAAATAAATAACCATCACACAAGCTATTCATCATTTGTTTATTTTATATTTAAGCAGGGCATTAACCTGGTCAATAATTATCCTTTTTTCAGTAAAGTGGTAAAATGGCTCTCTTTTATCATGTATTAGGATACAGACTGTTGATTTCTGTACCCTGCTAGTTAAGACTTGATGAAATAGACAAACACAAATGTTTGCAAGATTAGGAAATTGATTTACATTTCTTGTAAATAACTGGAGTACAGTAAATACAGGAATTTCCCTGAATTTCAAGTGTGGGTGTACTTTGCTCTAGACTTTTGGTTCATGACAGTTAA